ACGTCAGGCCTCCTATAACCTCTACTTCGCGCATAATCTGTCAACGCTTGAGCTGATCCAGAAGCTTCCAGCCTCCGGATCCTCGGAAATGGCTTCTCGCTGCATTTGGTCACATGGACAAGAGGCAATTTGCTGCGCAGGAGGCCCATCCTGGAATTTGCTTTAGCTGAAGTTTCTGGGCATCGACGGACACGCATCGGTTGCATTTGTTGACAGTCATTGCTCGATGCCATCTAAGACACATTCGCTGAGCAATGTGCTTCTCCCAGTGGGGGCATCTGCAATCCTGGTCTTGCTGGAGGGCTCTCAAGGAGAAGCCCGAAGTGGAGTGGCAGCAGACTCAGACGCACTTTGGCGTGCGCTTTCTTTTGCTCAAGCTATCCAGCCATTCGATCGAGGTCACCTCCGGCGCGTTGGACTTCACCAATTTGGATGCCCCCTTTGGCATCGCTTTCGAGGATCAGGATCCTTCGGCCAGTTCCTTGGGAGGCGAGGGGGAATGTGAGGTATGACCCCGAATGGTCATGACCGAAGGAGAACAAACACACACTGGGCCACCTGGGTTATGAGAGATGCCCACGCCATTGCGCGTCAATCGATAGGTACCATCACGATCCAGCGAGCCATTCAGGAGGCGAGGCTGCAAAACACTAGAGGGGGGGGGGGGCGTTGAGCCCATGGCGCACTTTGGCCCCCCTGATTTTTGTTTCCGGAATCCTTGCGTGCTTGGCGCAGGCGAACATCCAAGCCTACGAGTTGTACTGGGCGCAGGGTGGCACTACCGAGCCTACTCGATTGAGCCTTCTTCAGGATGTGCCGCTGACATCGGGGGGCACAACTACAATAACCTTCGAGATGATAGATTCCCAGCCCAGTCGATTCTACCCTTTGCTTTTTGTCGGGAAGGGTTTCCCTTTCAAACCAAGCAACTAAAAGAGGATTGGTGTCCCTTGTTTACCATGGCCGGGCTGAGGATTCTTATGGTGATGGATGGAACGATGCCTACTACTACATCCGAACAGGCACCGGGGACCTGATCGCCGAGGGCACGTTCACCAGTGGCTACTCTGAGACGCACACCATTGACAATGTGCCAGTCTCTGAAACGCTCACTCTGACCGTGTCTAGAGGCAACTGGCCAGCGGAGATGTCATGGACCCTGACAGCTGGCAGCACGGTCTTGAGTTCCAGCACAGACACATTCCCTACGAACATGCCTTTCAGCGTGTCTGGGGGCAGCCCAGTGGCTGATGCGAGTGGCATCGAGTTCTCTCCCGGTTTGCTCACGGTGTCGCTGGCACATGGCACTTCGGCTCCTAGCGGCGCAGATAACTTCTTGGTGCTGTGCAAGTTGGATTCCGGGGCAGAGTCTGCGGCAGCCTGGGTGGCCATTTCCGATTTTGCGCCTCCCTCTACATTTCCCGGCTCGATTGCCTTTCAAGACACGGATGAGGGATTGAGAAGTATTGCTGGACTAATCACGCTTGGTAGGGCCGCAGATGAGTCGAGCATCTCTGAGTACAAAGTTTACTTTGGCAGCAGCCCCTCCCAAAAACTGCCCCCACCCATCTTGCCGGGCCTGCAATACAAGCTCTTCGTATTCACCCAGGGCAGCATGTTACCCTCACTTGATGGGAGGCAGCCAACATCAGAAGGCGTGCATCTGAGCCTCGGCTTCAACCAGACAGATTTCGGTTGGCCAGATGCATTTCAAGTTGGCTTCGCAGTCCGATGGACCGGCTTCTTGCACATTGCGCAAGAAGGCACCTACTACTTTCAGTCACTGTCCGATGATGGCTGCAAAGTGCTCATCGCAGGGGATCTGGTCATTGATGCGGATGGACTTCTCGATCAAGCAGCGTGGCGGTCTGGGTTGGTGACGCTTCAGAGTGGGACACACTCCCTTCAGGTGGATTACTTCCTGGCCTCTGGAACGCATGGTACTCTGATGTTGCAGTACATGGGTCCGGACACGCAAGGGCTTTGGGCCAGTGTCTCGAATGTTTCATATGGAGTCAACGAGACAAATTGGATTGCGGCAATCAGCACCTCTGCATCCGATCCGCTGGTCGTGAGCCTTCCCAGTACAGCGCTCCCGGGGAATGCGTCGTACCTTCTCGCCTTTGGCTCTTCTGAGGGTGGAGATAGCTTGGAATCAGCTGCGCTGCTCCTCTCTGATTATGTCCTACCCAACAGTATTGTCTCAAATGTGACTTTTGCAGACATGGACCCCGCGTCTGGCCGGTATTCTGGGGTTGTGACTTTCCTTCGAGCTGACGATGAAGAAAGGATCACAGAGTACCTTCTGTACTGGGGGAGCAGTGCTTCAGAACCTGACTTCAGCTTTGGGTCTCTTGCTAGCCTTTCCGTGTCTGGCCCTTTCAACTGCACTCGATCGAGCTCATTGTTCGAAGGCATTTCGATGGTCGATTCCATGTGGTTCTATGAAACAGCTTCGTCGTTGGATGCAACGGAACTCTTGGCATTCCGCACGCAGTGTGAGCAGCATTGCCTCGGCCCTTTATTGCCTGGATGTACTGGCTTTGTGCTGCAGCTGTGGCTTGGTGCCCAAGCCAATTGTCAGTTTTACACCAGCAACATGCTGCTAGGTTGGTGGGGCTCCGGTAGTTCTGATGGCATATCTGTAGCCTCTGACCTTTGCATCGTGTCTGGCAATGAAGCCAGACTCAGCATGACCCTGCCTAGCTCCGAGGCCCCTTCAGGAGTGAGTCATTTGGTGGTGGTCAGCTCATATGAAAACAACTCCATGAGCGCAGGTGCAGGCATCGCCCTGTCAGACTACTCAACAGTCACAGTGGTGCCTGCCAACATTGCCTTCGAGGATACGGATCGATCCTTCAACTCAGTGGGCGGAACGGTCACCATTGGCGTTGCTGCGGATGAGTCGGAATTGAGCGGTTATGCCGTTTACTGGGGCGAGAGCAATACCTCCAAGTTGCCTGGCGGCAACATCGGCTTGCACGCGGAGTTTTTTGCACTGCAAGACTGCCCATGCTACTACTGTGCGGTGAACTTCTCAAGTCTTGGAGAGCCGTTCTTGACGCAGTCTGAGTCCAGCTCCCTCTACAGCACGTCACGCCCGGGTGGCAGCTTCTCAGCTTGGCCTGGCCTGAACAGGAGCGAGCTCTTTGCTGCCAAATGGACGGGGTGGTTTACTCTCGACGCAGGTGGGAACTACCACATCAATGCCGCGGCGGACGATGCTTGCAAGTTGTTCATGGACGGTGAAGAGGTCCTGTCCATCTCGGGCAGCTCTGGGGTGGGCCAGTCTTCAGTCACCGGATTCATCAGCGCAGGGCTTCACCACATAGAGCTGCAGTACTATCAGTGCAGAGGCGCCTCCGGCATCTCGGTTTCTGCCTCAGGCCCAGAGACTGGCTTCATGGACACGAGCCTTTGGGAGTTGACCAGGCGTGCCGCGATTCACTTACGCGTTTGACCCCAGCACGGGTTTGTTGGGCAGCGTCAGTACTCAACCTCATTTTTGTGGCGGCTGGACGACCTTCCTGAGTTAGTCCCATGTATGTTTGTTCATGTGCAGAGAGTGTTTCACAGTTGCTCAATCATGCTTCAGGTTTCCCTTGGCGCTCGACTCTTTGACCCACCTGCGTCAGGCACGGGCCCTATGACAGGGAGGCCTTGCTGACGGTGTCCAAGACCGGGTCCGACGTGGAGGCCAGCGACATGCGATTTAGGCACCATGAGTTTACATTGCTTCCGAATTCCACAAAAAGTGTAGTTGGTTTCCCTTTAATTTCAATCAGGGTCGAACGATATTGAGACGCCCTCAATGTCCCTCGTTTAGTTTTCCTTTTACATCGGCCATGATTGTTTAAACCAGTGTTGCACCGCACGGGTGCGATTTGTCTCCTTGTGCTTGGACTATTGCACACTATTACCTTCCTACCGATCGTCTGCCCTTCAAACTGAGACACATGGGTTCGGTCAAGTTGCTTGCTTGGCTATGATCCAGTTTGGAGGCATCCAAGTTTCTCACACAAATAAGGGGATGAACCCCCATCTTCCCATGTCCTCTTGGGGAATGTTGGGCTCACATGGCATTACGTGGCTCACATGGCATTACGTCCCCTGGATTAGCCAAATCCGAAGCAACCATAGTCATAGGCGCGGCAGTTTCAGGTCTTTTTGCCACTTTACCCCGACTCCGAGTCAGGGTTTGGAGTCCTTTGTCTGATTTTCTTTGCTAGGGTGTTGGTAAACTCCTTTGGAAGGCGAGATTCGGAGTCTGGCGCCAGGTCACTTTCTAGCGAAACTGCCAGCACTTGCCATGGAAAGAATTTGCACGCAGGACTGTGCATACTGTGGATGGACAAATTTCAGCATCAGTTGGTATGTGGCTGCTGCCAGTATTCAATTGGGGCTTGCTGCGAAGTGGATTCTGTCCACCAGGAAGAAAAGCATGTTTTTCCAGTGTGACTGAGTTGGACGACCCTAAATGGGTTCCAACAAGTGGGTTCCTTTCGGATACACAGATGCGATCGGAACTGTGAAAGGACTCCCCTGTCTGACGTGAGTCGACGTTCTGGGATTTGCCTCCCATTTGGAACCTTCTGGAACCCGGGGTTCCGACTCGGGTTCTCGGGTTCTCGACTCAAGGCCCTGGTGCCGAACACGGCCATCCCCGCGGGGGCGACCCACCTCCTAGCCTTCGCCCGGGCGAGCAGCGGCTTCGATGGCCTGGGCTCCGCCAGCGTGGCGCTGGTGGATTTGGTGCAGCCCCAGGTGGCCGCGCAGGCCAGGGCAAAAGGAGCACCCAGATCCATGCGGAGAGTTGGCACTGTTTTTCCATGTTGAGCTGGAAAGGGGTTGCCATTTCGAATTGCCGCTGCTTTGTGTTGGGGGGGTCCCTTCAAACCACCATTTGAAGAGCAATTTTGAGGACACTGATACAAATACTACTTTTGACTTTTAATGGACCCCTGGAATTTTCTGGGGATTCCGCTATAGGTTGGAGCAAGCCAGAGCCCCCCCCCCCTATAGGTTCCATGGTTGTTGTTTCAATCGCCCCACTGGCAGGCCGTGAGGTTCAGCGACCTGGACCCTTCCTCGGGCATGATCCAGGGGATCCTAAACATCGTGCGAGCTCAGGAGTCGCCGAGTCGCCCCCCCCGATCCGGGGTCCCAAACCGAGTCGGGCAGGTTGCTTTGGGGCCGCAACTCTAATTCCTCGGGTTTGGGCAACTTGTTTTTGACTGGTATCACTCACTTGCTGTGTGGCTAAGACTTCCGGCCCCGGGCCCCGGGTGGTGGCCGTCTTTCTTTCCAGTTTTTGCTCAGGAGGAGGAGCTTGTCAACTTCTACAAGGCAGGCCAAGGGCACGGCTTGCTTTTTTCAGGGGGATATTCCTTTTGTGTAACCTTACATGTGTATATGTACACATATATCCATAATCATCTATAGAATCTATACATACACCGGTGGCTTTTTACCTTTGCACTCTTTTTATGACGTATGTCTGTGCGCGGATCTTAGGTCTATTGGGGTTCCAGCGCCACTGACATCCTGAACGTCAGCGACAGCGGCGCTAGACGCTTATCGAGTGCACGACCTTCCTGCACAGGGCTTTCTTGCCCTGATGTCCAGATCTCAGGCGGATTGGGGGCTTGAGGTGGATTTGGTGGTGGGCTGTGGGGCTTTGGGGCTTTGGGGGCTTGTAGGGGTCAGGGGTTGTTTCCTTTTGAAATCCATCAGAAAGGGGGTTCCTCTTCCGAGACATACCCAGCAGTACGGTGCAAAGACACACATAGTTTAGGGTAAGTGATACATTTAGTTGCAAGCAGTGTCAATTCTTTATTTCAGAGCTACTTCAGGCATGTTTCAGACCTCCATCCCCCCCACACTGTGCACAGGTAGTGGCAACGAGTGGACGGTGTCTCGTGGAACTTATGGCAACGATGAAAGTGCTGACATCACTTTGGCCGGACCTGCTGAAATCACTTTCCTGTCGCTCACCACGGAGACGTGTTGTGACAAGCTCCATTTCCCAGACCAGGTCTTCAGTGGATACACAGTGCCTCAGCCCATATCGCTCAGGGATGGAATGCATGCCGTGCAGTGGCGCTCGGACTACTCGGTCACCTCAGGTGGCTGGAGCTTCTCATACACCTACCTGGGGAGCGCAGAAGGCACCTCCCCAGGTTTGATTGCCATGATCCCCAAGCCAGCGCACCTCCATGACTTGCAAGTCCAAATCGACCGCCAACAGCTCATAGGTAGCCATTTCATTGTGAAGGTAGCTTACAACTCCACTGAAAGTGATAGCTCCGTGGCAGTGGAAATTCAAGATCTGGCGCCAGAAGAGCTTATTGTCGGCAATCTAAGCTTCAGTGACACAAATCTCTCTATGGGGTACATTGGAGGAAGCCTTGAAATCGGAGAGGCTGGGTCGGGCATCTCCGGGTATCGTGTCTATTGGGGTTCCAACAGCACCCACTTGATTGCCCCTGGAGTAGCCGGGCTTGAGGGACAGTATTTCTACTTGTCCTACAGCCCCGACAGCATCCCGGGCATGGACTCCTTGGTCCCAGATCTGGTGAAGATCGACCTGGAAGTGAACCAGGTGCAGACGCTTTCTGCATGGCCAGGATTGAGCGTTGAGGACCACTTCGCTGCTCGCTGGACCGGCTATGTAAAGATCGAAGCGCCTGGCACATATCGCTTCACGCTGAACTCTGATGATGGCAGCAGGCTATTCATCAATGGAGCATTGGTGGTAGATAATGATGGAGTTCATGGCATGCAGTCTTTAACAGGAGAGATTTCTTTAGTTGCAGGTTTCCACAGCCTGCAAATCGATTACTTTGAAGGCCAAGATGAATCCGGAATGATCTTGCTGTACAGTGGGCCAGACACGGCTGGTTCAAGGGTTGTGATCCCTCAAAGTGCATTGCGCCACGGATCTCTCGGCAATGCGCTGATTGGGGAAGTCGCTGCAGCTTCATCGGGTGCCACCGTCTTTGATATTCAGAGTCTATCCTTGCCAGAAGATGCCACACATCTGATAGTGCGAGCCTTCAATGATCAGGGTGAGAGCTTGACAGGCGCAGCTGTCGAGCTGAACGATGCTTTCAGGCCCACATCACCAGCTGGGGCTGTTCAGTTTGTGGATGAAGACCCCACTCAGGGGTTGATTGCCGGCACTATTGTGGTGGAGGCAGCAGCAGATCCCAGCACAGTGTCCCACTATGTGCTTTATTGGGGTAGCTCCTCCGATGTCAAGCTGGATCAGGTTCCACTGGCAGAAATTGAGTCAACTGGTGGCTCGGGCAATCATGGGAGCTGCGGCTTGAAAGGGGAAGACACGACCCCTTTGCGCTTTTCCCGCAATGGCGTGAACGGCCCGAAGATTGTCAATGGTCAGGATGCCAGCCACTGTGAATGGAGATGGCAGGTGAGCCTTCGTTCGCTGTCAGGATTTCACTTCTGTGGAGGTGCCCTGATTTCGCCCAAGTGGGTCATGTCAGCAGCGCACTGCGTTGATGGAGCCAGCAGCTTTGTCATTGTTGTTGGTGACTTTGATAAGGACTCCTCATCCGATGAACACGAGCGGACACACAATGTCCTGCGCGTCATCTCACACGAGAGCTATGACTCATCGACCATGTCTCATGACTTTGCACTCATCGAGCTCGAGCAAGAGGTAGATATGACTCAGTGTGTTGCAACAGCTTGCCTTCCAGATGCTCATGTTGATGTCGGCCAGGACTGCTACATCACTGGCTGGGGAACTCTGTCCTCTGGTGGCTCATCGCCTTCTCGACTGCAGGAGGGTCTTGTCATAGCTTTGAGCAACACTGAATGCAATGCCAGGTATTCTGGCAGTATTGAGGACAACATGCTTTGTGCGCAAGGAACTGCTGCTGGGGGCATTGTGGATGCTTGCCAGGGTGACAGTGGTGGTCCCTTGGTATGCCCACGAGCAGATGGAAGGCATGTACTGCATGGAGCAACCTCATGGGGATATGGTTGCGCTCAAGCCCAGTATCCCGGTGTTTGGGCGCGCATTGCTTCCATCCTTCCATGGATCCATGATCACACCAGCTTGCAGTCTGGAAGAGATTCTTCTGTAGGCAACCTGACCTACAATCTGAGCTCTCAATCCATTCCGTCATCTGCAACACATTTGCTTGTGTATACCGCCATGCATGGTGCAGAAATGGAATCCGGCATTAGCATCCCTCTTGTGGACTACGCACCTGTGGATGTTGTGCCTTCCTCCATCAACTTCACCGACGCGGATGCCTCTCCTGGTGAGCTGGGTGGAGTGATCCATCTAGGCCGAGCATCTGATGAGACGCAAGTCACCGGCTACGCGGTCTACTGGGGCTCTTCCGAGACACAGACTCTGGAGCTGCTGGCTGAAATAAGCAAAGGGTCTGGTACGTTGGAGATCACAATGCCAAGCAACACACAGCCGCCGGCTTTAGCCACCCACTTGCTGGGCTTTGCAGTCACCATCTCAGGGACGGGCTTGAGCAGCGTTGCGGTTGAGATCATGGATGCTGACCATAGTTTGTCCCCGGGAGGCTTGATGTTTACTGATACGGACGAGACTGCAGGAAGAGTTGGCGGCATGGTGACCATCCAACGCGCTGCCAGCACCAGCGGAATCTCGGCCTACAACCTGTACTTCAGCAGCGGGGATTGCACGACGGTAGGCGGCCAGATCGCAAGTGTGGCCGTGTCGCAAAGTGGCAGGGCGCCTCTCTGCACTGAGGGCACTACCTGTTCCGACATCACCATCACCCAAGAGACTTCGGAGCGCTACGTGATTTCTCGCGGGATGAGTGGCTGCCCAGCTGGTCAGTGATGCGCAGTTCTTTTTTTGCTCCACCTGCCTGTGTGTGTGTGTGTGTGTGTGTTGGACCATGACAAGGGTCGAATCCTATTTTACCCACCTTTCACGGCACCCAAAAAGGAGGGTTTTGAGCCGGAGTCCATGAACATTTCCTCAGCCATGTCTCCGGGACACCTGGTTCTCTTGAGATGCAGCCGAGTACATTGCTGTCCCCCGAGAGATACTAAGTAGAGGGCTGATGGACACCAGGTAGCTGACCCATCGCAATTTGTGGGATCGGATCCAACTGCATTGTTGCATCAGGCTACCGGAACAGCGAGCATGCCAAGATCTCAGTGGAGGGGCCCGGGTCGGTCCACTTCTCCCGCTTCAGCACGGAGTCGGGCTATGACATGCTGAGGGTGGATGAGGCCGGCAGTGTTCCTGGGGGTAGAGGTAGCTCACCATGTAGCTCTCCATGTTTTTGATTTGGGGATTCAGGTTTTGGCCATATTCTAGAAAATGCAGATTCATGCACACATGGCGCAGGTTCATCGTTTGTCGCCAAATAGGAAGACTGTCAGGTTACATGGTAGGGGTGTCCGTTTCTGCTTTTCCTTCAGGCCTCGTCAACATCAAGGGTGGACGGCAAGGGTTCGTCAAACACGGACACAAACTCAATTGCACAACTTGCACAGAGAAGATGTGTGCAGTTCGTCTACACAGAAAATGTTGCATAAAGCTGACTCGAATTGAAGACTTGCAGAGAACATCTTGCACAGACCGTGTCAACACGCACAGGTTCGACGTTTTGCAGGAAACACCATTCTACACATCATATTTTGCACAGCTTGCAAAGTTGGACCTTTTCGCACCCACCTGCGCAGGGGACATTGAAATCAAGTAATGGCCTAGATCACTATCAATCAGCAGCTTCAAAACAGGGATCCGAAAAAAGGTTGTCAAAGAGAATCTCAGCTACCTTGCATGGGGACAAATGACGCAGAGCATCTGGCACAAAGCACACTCGAAATTGAAACCGTTTGCAAAGGACACAGTCGACACTTGCATGGAGCAGCTTTCTCAGCGCTTGCTTGCACAGAGAAAGCTCTCATAGTGCATTCCGCCCCGATTTTGCTTGTTCATTCAGAGAGTCGCTGTTGTTGGAGTGGGAGCGGATGTGCCCTACGACAGTTCAGCTCTTGCATGGGTACTTTTTTCTCAAAATCAGGTGCTGTAGGTGGTTTCTTTCCATTCGACTTTCCTGTCCAACCTTACAACAAGGGGTCCATCATTTTGGGAAACACCCATGTTTCGGATGCATGAGTGCGTGGTTCTGTGTGCGTTTCTGAGCGCGCGGGCCCCTCAGTGTGCATCTTGCGTGGCTCGTGCACATCTTGGCTGGGATCAGGCTGGCCTCTGTGTGGATGGTGTGTTTTCCAGCCTTGATGCACCAAAGGCTTGTCTCGTGGTTTGCGCGCCGATTCTTGGAAGCAAGTGGCTCTAGTCTCGAGTATCGCTGGTCCGTGCTCTGCTTGGAAAGCGATTGGTTGCTAGATGTTTGAGTTGCATGAGAAGCACGTTTTTGCAGCTGGCGCTGGAAAGGCGCATGTTTTCAGTATGCACGAAAGCAGCATGCAAACTGCACTCTTGCAGCTCCGACTCGAAGGATGTAGTCGAAAGCGATGCGAGAAGTACACCTTTGCAGTACCGACTTGAACGTTTCAGCCTTTTGCACAACAGTGTGAGACGTACACTTTCCAAGCTCCGCTCAAAGTTGTAGCGCAGGCACCGCAGTACGCAGGGTTTTCCAACTCAGGCGCACAATTCTCAGGTGATTTCGCAAAGAACATGTCGTAGGTCCGTCACAAAAAGCCCAGCCTGTTTCGCTGAGGCCCAACATACGCAGAGCAGATTGCACACCGAGAAGATCATCGAACAAAAAGACCAACTTTTGCAGATCATGCAGATGCAAGCAGTATATCATATTTGCACGACAGCTTGCAGCGGAACAATGTGCACAGAATGACCAGAGAACGAAAGAAAGTGTGCAGAGGCAGAATATGCCCCCCACGCAAGCAACAATCGCAAAAGATTCGGTGGCACACAAAAAGAACTGCATGCACAGACCAACACACACACACACACACAGAGCAACTTGCATAGATCATGCAACAATTCTGACTCTTCTGACTCTTCTCTATCTTCGATGTCGGTTTGGCCCCCATTTTAGGCTTGGTCCCTTTATCGATTTCGACCACAAGTCATGTAGGTGTGTCGTTGGTCAACGCAACCACCCTGGAGGCCTCATTCTCGGGGGACTCGCTGCCCGCCAGTGTCGCACTGGGCCCGGGGCCCAAGGAGATCGAGTGGACCAGCGACTATAGCGTGACCCGCGATGGCTGGGTCGTCACCTTCGAAGCCCAAGGCTCGTTTGGTGACGTGAGCCATACTTTGCCCAATGGAACATACATGCCCGCGGGAGCAAGCAGAATGCTGGTGTTCTCAGTGGCGAATGGAGCGGAATACAGGCAAGCATGTGCCTCGACGCCCATTTCAGACTATGCGCCTCCGAACCAGGCAGCGCAGAACGTGTGGTTCGAAGATGAAGACTCCGCAGGAGCACAAGTGGCAGGTACCATCACCATCCTGCAGGCTCGTCAGCACACAGGACTTCTTGAATATCGGATCTATTGGGGGATGACCTCGACGACTCGCCTTCCAAATGCCAACATGTTATTGTCAGTGGTCGCATCGTCACCTGGCACCAACCTGACCGCAGTCCTGAGCGCAACTGCCCTCCCCACGAATGCTTCGCACTTGCTGGTATTTTCAGCATCTGCTCAAGGGGAGGCCCCCACGCCTGCAAGTACCGAGATTGTGGACTTCAACCCGGCGCAAGAAACTGCGCAGAACCTGAGCTTCACAGACACCGACTCTGCCCAGGGAGTGGTGAGCGGTAGCGCTCATGTTGTCAGAGCAAGCGATGAGTCTACCATACAGAGCTACAACCTGTACTTCTCCAACAGCCAACAGAAGATCAGCTTTGTTGGCTCCGCGCCGGCTCCAGCAGGAGCAGCCAGGCCATCTTGCCGCGGCGACTCATGCGCCCAGATTTCCATCACATCGGTGGCAGCTGCCTACGAAGTGTCGCGCGGTACCTCCTACAGCCACAACGAGGAGGCAGTCATCGTGATCACAGGGCCTGGCCTTTTGCGCTTCACCTTCTTCAACACCGAGGCCGGCTACGACTTCCTGCAGATCATGGGCACGCCATACTCTGGCAACCAGCTCCCAGCCGACATCCCCATTCCGGCATCAAGCCACGAGATCGTTTGGCGGTCTGATGGCTCTGTGGCCACAGGAGGCTGGGTGTTTCAATACGAAGCCGCGTTATCCGAGGCGCTGAGCATTCCAGTGCCACAAAGCACCATCCCCACTGGTGCCGTTTCGCTGCTCGTGGTTGCAAGTGGCGCTGGAGGTGAAATGGCCGTTGGAGTCGCAACTCCCTTGGTGGACTACCATCCTCCGATGGCTACGCCTCAGTCTGTCCAATGCCAAGATGAGGACACCAGCATAGGTGTCATTCAAGGCACATGCACAGTGAGGCGTGCAGCCAGCGAAGATGGGGTCACGGCCTATGAGGTGTACTGGGGAATGAACGCAACTCATGCCATTCCGGGCGTGCCAAGCTTGGGTCGCGTCACATTGGCAGGCTCAGCGTTGTCGGTGGATGTGCTAATTGCCCAGACAGCAATCCATTCTGGCGCGAGCCATTTGCTGGCTTTCGCAGCAGGTCTGGGGGGTGTTGCGCCTCAGGGAGCCTCCACACCGCTGGTGGACAATGCCGGCCTGACTCTGTCGCCCTCCAGCCTGGACATTTTGGGCACTCCCGACTCCACTGTCACGGGCAGCGTCACCATCAACAACGCCGGCACCAGCGGTGTCACGCTCAACGTGGAGCTGCTCTTTGACACAGGCTCCGCAGAAGGGAGCTCCAGTGCAGCTGGCTCCAGCTCCAGCCCCAGTTCCAGCTCCAGCTCTAGCAGCTCCAGCGCTTACACCTTGCCATCCGCCTGTTTGCAGGGCTCCCTGCCGGTGGGCAAGAACCGCCTCATCTTCAAGGCCAAGGCCGACACGAAAGAGGCCAGGCGCTTGCACGCCAAGAATTTGGAGAGCAGACACGGGGCCAAGGTGAAGAGCTTTGATCATTTGGGGGGTCTGGCCTTTGCAGAGCTCAAGAACACTTCTCTGAAGAGCTACTGCCAACTGTTTGTGGACTTGGAGAACGACCCGCTGGTTGCCTTTGTGGAGGAAGACAAGACATGGCATGCCATTGGAAACACCATCCAGGTGGAGGAGGATTTGTTCCTGAGCCCGGGCAAAATGCCCAAGTCTCCGCCCTCGCGCCTTGGTCGGATGCATCGGTCCCGGAGGGCTGACAACGCTGCTTCCTCCGTTCCCAACGACGGCTCCTTCGACGAGTTGTGGGGCTTGCACCAAGACAACGATGTGGACATCGATGCGTTGGAGGCTTGGGCGATTCACCAGGGTTTGAATGGCCGCGTGATCATCGCGGTGATCGACACGGGGGTGGACTACAATCACGAGGATCTCCGCAATCAGATGTGGACAAATCCTGGAGAGATACCGGGCGATGGCATCGACAACGACGGCAACGGCTTTGTGGATGATGTGTATGGTTACAACTTCTATGGGGACAATGGTGATCCCATGGATTCAAATGGCCATGGAACGCACTGTGCAGGCACCATTGGTGCAGAAGCTGGCAACTCGGTGGGTGTCGCCGGCGTCTCCTGGAAGCCACAAATCATGGCTCTGAAATTTCTGGGTGCTAACGGAGGCTCCACTTCAGATGCTATCCGTTCAGTGGACTACGCTGTGCAAATGGGTGCGCAGATCAGCTCGAACTCCTGGGGGGGCGGGGGCAGCTCCACAGCGCTTATTGCTGCCATCAACGAAGCGGCCAATCAGAACCACTTGTTCATTGTGGCTGCAGGCAACGATGGACGGGACAACGAAATCAGCGCAACTTATCCTTGCAACTACAACTTGCCCAACATGATTTGTGTGGCTTCTACAGACAGTCAGAACGACATCTCGTCTTTCTCCAACTGGGGCACCAATGTTGTCCATATTGCTGCCCCTGGATCCAGGATTTATAGCACCTACCCGAACAATAGGTATGCAAGCCTTTCCGGAACATCGATGGCAACCCCACACGTCTCTGGCGTTGCTGCATTGGTCCTTGACTACGTACCCACGCTGACATATCAGGAACTGCGTCAGCTCATTCTGGATTCCGCAGTGAGGTTTGACAAGTTTGCAAGCAAGGTCTCTACCGGAGCCTTGCTGAATGCACACGCTGCGCTTGTCATGGCAAGCCAGCACGCATGGGCCCGCTTGACCGCGCCCAGCACCGGGGCCATCACGGTGCCAGCCCAGGGTTCAGCGGCGATCGCTGTGGAGCTGGGAGGACCCAGACTCGAGCAAGGGGAGTATCGAGCCAGGCTGCGAATTTGGAGCCAGGTCGGGGACATCATCTACTCGCGCCTGGTGCCAATTCTCTACACCCTCCACGAATATGCCTCTGCTCCTCTCTCAACCGCAGGCCCAATTGGTCTTGAGTTTGCAGATGTTGATGGTGGCAGAGGTGTGATTGCGGGTGCCTTGACAATCACCAGAGCAACTGCAGAGGTGGAAGCGAGCTTTTCGCAGTATCACATCTTCTGGGCAGATGCAACGGAGAATCGCATGTCTGACATGCCCTTCGCCATCTTGGACACCGGGAATCTGCTGCGTGATGATTTCTCCTTCTTCGACTCCTCCTTTTGGTTCGTTCCCAACTCAGACACCTGGTCCGTGTCCGAGGGCGCCGCCGTGTTTTCGGGCCACTACCCCACCAGCCACCTCGCCCTGGCGCGGCGCTTTGCCCCGCCCTTCACGGTGAAGACCAAAATCAGGAAGGCCAGCGGCGCGCTGGCGCACATGGTGCTGCAGATCGGCGGCTCGGAGGCCAGCCTCTTCGGCTCTGGCAACGGCATTCGGGCGATGTACATGGGATCCCAAAAGGTCCTGCTGTCCGACGCGGGAGAGCATGAATCCGTGCCTTGCAGCTTGGGGACATGGTTTGAAGTGACCATCACAGTCCGCTCCAATTCCGTGACCTTTGCGGACAACCAGGGATGCCAAGAGATCGTCATTCCTGTAAGCATTGAGTCCACTCAAAACATCCGCATTGGCGCAGACTGCACCGGTGATTGTGTCATTCATGGCGGGAGCGTGTGGGAATATTTCGAAGTGAGCGGAGGACTTTATGCAACCTTCAACGTTCCTGCGAACACGGCCATTCCGGATGACGCGGCCGGTTTTGTGGCGCATGCTTGGAATGTTTTGGGCCTGCAGCCATTTGGAGTATTTGCCCCAGTGGAAGATCATCGAGTTGCTGTGCGTGCAGCAGCGCCGCTGGATGTCAGCGCAAGCTCGCCGGAGACAAACCCCACCAGCAGCTTGACTGTTTCCTGGACGCGTGGATTGCTGAACGATTGCTCCTCACACTTCCAGAAGTATGAGGTTTTGGCGCAAGCTTCCAATGCAGACTGGTTTGCAGCTGAAGGTTGTCAGAACTTGGTGAACCTGAATTCTCAAAGCTGTCTGGCTACAGGACTGAGCACTGACATGCCATATCAGTTCAGGGTGCGTGTGGTTTGCAGCCTTGAAGAGACACAGAGTTTGTGGAGCGAGATCTCGGCGACAGCAGTGACGCATCCATTCCCTGCTGCTGCTCCAACACAGGTTCGGGCGCGACTTCCCGGCTCCACCTTGCACACGGCTTAGCATTGCCATAACGGCAAACCGAAAGGAACCGTCACCATTTCTGGCCCCCCCTAATTTGACACATACCGGCGCTGTAAACTCAAGATAGCGGTTCCGCGTTAATCTGCAGCAGAGTAGCCAGTTCAGTAGATGTACTCAGTCATGAGCTTGCAATTTATGAACAATGATTCACAAGGCGGAGAAAGCTAGTGCTTTTGAATCCTAGCATGCGATGATTACTTCAAGCTCACTTGTAATGCTCCTTTGACGCGTTGGGTTCCTGAGGTTGCTGGTGTCGTGGCAGACGGAGACCTTGAATGACTGCGAGTTTGTGGAGTCCGTGGTTGAAGCGCAAGTGGTGGGGCAGAGCTCTTGGTTCCGGCCGGAGGGATGCACAGGTCTGACGCTCCTCAACTCTTATCACTGCACCGCGCAGGCGCTGACACCCGACACATCCTACATCTTTCGAGTGCAGACCAGCTGCTCCGACCCTTTGTCAAGTAGTGGCTTCAGTCTATCAAGCACCCCAGCCTCAACACTGGCCAGCGCACAAGACTGGGAGTCATCGCAGCGGCGAATGCTTTCCGTCAGCATGACAGCAGACCTGGATTACAACACTGTCCTATCGACACCCAGCCTCAAGGAAGGGCTGATTGCACGCATCATCAGTGATACAGCGACCCGGCTGGGCATTGATGCTTCAAAGGTGCAGGTGGAGCTTCTCGCTGGCGCGGCGCTCTCATCCTCCCGCCGACTTTCCACAGTGTCCACGGTCTTTGCTGTGACGGTTGAAGGTGTGGCGGAGGGCACCCAGACAGAGGCATCAAGCAGCATGGCCCAAGAGGTTGCCTCTGCAGTGCAGACAGAAACTGGTGCTGCCAGTGAGGTCTCAGTCAGCAGTACGGCCACCTTGACTGCAGCAACTACCCCTGAGCGTATCATGTGGACTGATTTGGGCAGCGGACGCGTTCAGCTAGCCTGGAATGCAAGGCCACTGAATGACTGCTCTTTCCTTGCCTGGCATGTCATTGCTTTGTCGGGAACCTCTGAAATGTCTCCGACAGGCTGTTCCAATCTTGTGGACCTGTCCCAGACAAGCTGCGTGGCTTCTGGCTTGGATCAAAGCGGCTATACGTTCACAGTCTCTGTCTTGTGTGCGGACCCTGCTGCAAGCAGTCAGCGATCTGAAGCCAGCGACGCATGGTCCTTGGTGGGCACGCTGAATCTTGTCTCTGCTGAGTTTGTTGAGGATTTCTCTGTATTGCTTCTTTCATTTGATGGTACAGTCACTACTGCGCAGTTGCTTCCAACGACTTGCGTGGATGCCTTTGGTGGTACGAGCAACGCGCTCGGCAGTGGCATCACCTGCAAGGTGATAGGATCACAGCTGCGCGTGACCTTGGGAGCAGGAGCATCTTTACGTTTGGGTGAGACTGTTCGCATGAACAGTGCAGGAGGCTCCGCTGTAGTGACTACTTCATCAGAGGCACCATCAGTCGTGGGTATCTTGTCTGCCACACCGTCCGTTACCCAAGCTTGCGTTCCTGTAGTGCTTTTGTTGCAGACATCCGGTGCCGCTGGAAGGGCGCTTGACATCAAGTGGATGACAGACCGTCCAGGCTCCTTGCAGAACTTGCTGGACTCTGCTACCGAGGACTCGGCCTCAAGCCTGACTCTCTCTCCGACACTTTTGCAGGAGATCCTTGCCACAGCGGATGCAAACACCACTAGCCTAACGGCCAATGTGAGTGTGCAAGTCAGCAACTGGCTGGGCCAGAATGCGACTGCCAGTGCCGCCGTGACTTTGCTGAAGAGTGCTTCCTTAATCGCAAGCATTCAAGCCTCAGGTCCAGCACAGCTGGTTCGCCAGTTTGACGATCCCTTGGAGCTCGAAGTAACCACCAGTATTGGCAGCACCTGCGAGTCCAACCTTGAGGCTAAACTGACAACCACCTGGCATTACCGACCCTCGGATTCGGCAACATGGATGACTCTGGCAGAGGCAGGTTTGTCCGACTTGTCCGCGATGCCAAACATCCTACGCCTTGCACCATATGCTCTGCCATCTGGCAGTCATGAACTGCGAGCCACAGCGGCATTTGAGGGTGCCGTCGGTGAGAGCGACTCTCTTGCCTTTAGCATCACAGTGGAGAGCCCTACACTGGACTTTGAGATCAGCGGGCCTCAATCTGTGGGAGTTGGCTGTGGCTTTGAGCTAGGCACTATGGTCGCGGCCTCGCACCCTGATGCAGTGCTGTCATATCAATGGGCGTGCCTGCAGCCGGAGAATTGCAGCTTCATGCTTTCAAATTTTGCAGCCAGTGCAGAAGTGTTGGATGGCTCAGGGTATTCAGGAGCTCGACTTGCAGTTGCGCCGGCCAACGTTTCTCAAGGAGCATATACTTTCAGCCACTGGCCAGATATTCATGCCATTTTCCTTGCAAACTAACCTTGTTGCCATGTGGCACTTTTCGTGGGGCATTTTCAGATGCTCAGGAATCACTGTGACGAATCAGATTCCGAGTATGCCTGCCGTATCTCTGCAGAAGGAGGCTGGACCAGTGTGACAGAGACAGGCCGTGTTTGCTATGTTCCTGAATGCAGCTGTTCAATATGTCACCACGTCAAACATTGGGGGTGGTTTAGCAAGAAACAGCACCATTTGTTGCATTTCCATCCCGTTGCCAGGTTCCAAGTTTCACTTTTTACAACTTGCTTATTCATTTCATCATCACCATGTGTTTACACAGGTGTTATATATTTGCGCGCACCCCATCGGCACGCCTACATCATTTGCATGTTCAGTCTTGAGTTTTGTCTCGACATGTTGTTTTCGGGTTTTTCTTATGCTTCGCTCGACTGTGTGGGTACAGCATACATTTCTCGTATTTCTCAATGTCATAGCCTCCACGACTCATCATGATCACATTGTTGAGATTGTTGTGTTAATTAGCTTTTGCCCTAAACCGACCCTGGAGCATGCCAACCTGAAACCAAGCGTAAACCTAGAAGCAAAGATAGCTACCAATCTACCCGAGTGCCGGAAACACAAATGCGTTTCCGAACACAAGCTCGCCACATCAAGATTGGTCTTGCATTTCTTTCGGCCTCAACTCCATATAGTATTTCGTTCAAAACACGGATCGCCACTTTACTAAATGCTTAGTGGTTTCTGATTGCATATACTCATGTGCTTTTTTCAGCTGGTCGAGCCCCAAACCTGGAACCCTGCCAGCGCTCCATGGATGTTGATTTCCCCGAGGTTACTGTTCTGGTACAGCAAGGAGGTCCACTTCCCGTGGAGATCATCACTCCATGGACAAGCATGAGCCGCCTCTCAGTGCAGGCCTGGCGCCAGAACCATGTTCCTTTTCTCCGAGGTTTGTGTGGTTGAGTCCAAAAACGTTTCGCAAGTGAACCAGCATCCAACACTGGTAAATTGGGGGGTAACACACCAGAGTTCGCTTTGTTCCCACTTGCCGTTTTCAGGAGTTTCTCAGCTTGGGCTTTCTCTGGTTGTGAAAAGCGAAAGCGAAAGGAAAACCATTTCAGGCGACAATTTCCTTTGAGAAGCCTCCACTGGCATCCGCCGTCCGCCCTTTTCCCCTGGCAGGAACAAAGCTTGCCCGAGCCCGTGGTGGCGCACGTGGGATCTGCTGCGGATGCCTGCCAGGCCGACGGGTCTGCGTCCGGGATCTTCACGTGAGAAAAAGCTGAGACGTTCAAAATCAATCCAGGGCGCTGTGTGTCTTTCCTTGTTTTTGTTTTCTTCCCCCAACAGCTGAAAGCTTTGGGGTCTCAGCCCAGATAGGCTCCGGGGTGGTCCGGGGCGGCCCTGAGATAAGGTTCCACGAGGGTTCCACCAGGGTTCCACCAGGGTTCCACCAGGGTTCCACCAGGATTCCACCAGGGTTCCACCAGGGTTCCACCAGCGACGCGTACGCAAGCGCGCCGCTCGAGGGCGAGTTGTTGTGTGACGCCCATTGGGCGGTCTTATGTTTCACCGCAGTTCGACGGAAAAAGGTGTGAAAAAAGGAAAATTATCGCACCTTTTTCCGATGGCTTCTCCCCCCAGAAACCCTGCTTAAGGGGCTTGGCACGCTGGTTCTGCTTTGCCTAGCAACGCAAACTCGCTGCCCACCCGGAGCTCCAGCGCGCAGGGTTGCACCGCCTTTGCGTTCTCGTGCGCCAGCGCCGTTGGGGCTTGGCGCCGAGGAGGCGCCTCCGCTGGAGCACGTCGCACTTAGGGACCGGGCCCGGCCAACGCCTGCGTGCAAGTTGCTGTGAATACCACCTTCGTCGGCCCAGTCTCAACTTGTGACTCATGAAGTTGCAAGATGCTCGCCGAAAGATTGGAGAGCTTCATAGGGGATATCACCTGAGCTTCTTTTTTTTTTTTTTTGAGTTGTTCACCGATCCTTAATGACGGTGTCCCTTTTGTCGTCCAGACGGATTTGGATCATCCATCGAAGCTGAAAAGAGGCCTTTGGCTGAGATCAGGTGCTGAGGGTCACTTTTAGGATTTTAGACCACCATTAGGGGTTCCTAGGGAATGACCAGGCTCCAGGACTGATGACTGGGTGAGAGAGACTTTGACTTTGACGCTTGGTGATGCCTGTTCAGCTGTGTACGAACCCTGGGCGAATCTTGCAGTTCGCAGACATCGCTCACGATCATTGGAGCGAGTTCCAAGAATAGGGACATAGCCCCCAGGGTGGCTATGGCGTGCGCAGCAAATCGATGAACAACTATTGGCACTATGTGCCGCAGCGCTGTGGCTGCTGCGCACGCAGAATGATGAGATGCTTCATGGCGCCACGCCGCAAGTTGCGAATTTCATCTCCAAGTTGTCCCTCCGCAGGTCAAGGAGGTGTCCAAATCGCCTCAGCGCTGCAGAGCTCATGATGCATGTGCCTTCTGACATAACTTGACCGTCTTTCCCAATATGTCTGTCGACAAGTCTGCTGTCATGCGGAACGGATCTCTGCAAACCGCTGGCTCATGATGTGTTCATTCAGGTTGCCCACGCCCTTCCCACCATTAAGTGGTCCGCCAAGCATGTATATGTCCTGCTCTGGGGATCGGCGACAGCGGTAGATATGGATGGTTCTCCCTGATTGGCAGCAAGGGCAGTCGGCGCATCATGCTTGATTGCAAAGACCACCCGGTTCGTGACACCTTGGCTGGTGGAGTACTTGCCGCTCAAACAACCATTCTACCATGCCTTTTGCAAAGACGGCCGGTTTGCGATGCAGACGGCTCCATGAGCAGTGACATCCCAACGCGTCAGGTGTCCATTCAGGCAAGGATACAAATCAAGTACCAACATTCGACAGAGCATAGATGCGAATCCAGCATATACCACAGCTAAATAGTGAGAGGCCAGCGCTAGCACCTGTACGGAGCTGCGCCAACATGAGCTCGACCTCAAAGGTACCACAAGACTGCGTCGTTCGCAGGTCTATATGATTGCCTCTAATACGTTGTGACAATGGCTCGGCCAAAACCAAGCTGTCATTGACGAACGCTGCTCAAGGCTTCGCTGGCCATACCTCTGGATTCCCGAAGACGGCATTAGTTGGTCTCACGGGGTGCTGAAATGGATGGCTTCCAGGTGGTTTTTATTTCAATACACGCCCCCTAAAAGATGTCTCAGAATTGTGGCTGAAGAACCGCACCAGAACAACACGATCAAGCAAGGAACAATACTATCCCCTTGCCATTCCGGCAACATTTCATGTCGCGAGGACCATATGGCTTCACAAAGGCTCCTTTGGACAACCACCCCCCACCCCCGTCTTATGTGGCCCTCCCCCCCCCCTTCCAAAAAGAAAAAGCACGCCCCTGTCCCGTAGATTCGGGAACCCAAAGATCAAAATCGGGGTGTCGACGATGACACTGTGCTGCATGAGGTGCCAAGCTCTTCGGTGTACTTGTGGGTTCTGGCCACTGCCACCGTGGCCGCCTGAGAAGAAAATACACGGGGGAAACCCCGTTTCAGTGCGAGGGGGAGGGGGGTGGGGGGAAACCTGGTTAAAGCCAACTCCGCCGGTTTAGAGTCACCTGTCGGTTTGGGGTCAAAGCAGCTTGGGGGTCGAAGAAAAGAGGGGATCCCCGCAGCGCTCAGGAGCCAAGCGAAATCCTGGCCAGCCTCGACACGAAGGTGGTCTTTACAGGCGCACCAAGTCGGAGCGGCACGTAAGCTGCAATGTCAATGCCGGAACCCGGACCATTTTTGGCGGTTCCCCTCGGACTCTCATGGACTGGTATCCGGCGACTTGAGATGCTGCAGGTGCCACGGCAGGTGTGGCCACGGTGACCAGCGTTTCCTTCCAGAGTGCGCTGTTGCCCTCCATGAGCTACGTGTACGCACTGCTGCGTACAAGTCTCAGTCAGCAGCGTAGCGGATGTTTGAATTTCAATGGTGGGGACCCTCCTGAACATTGTTTATGAGAGCCAAAGGGTCCCCAATTAAAACTCCCGCTATTTGCATTTTCGACTGCAAGCAAGATGTCAGTGAGAGCTGTTTGTTGCTGCCGGGCGAATTTTGTGCGTTTCATCTCAGATGCCAGGTGCGGAGAGCTCTTCTCAGCTGACTCAAGGAGAGCAGTCAGCCACCCTGCAAGACGCTGCAGCCCTGGGCATCTCCGTCTCAAAGCCGAGCTCTCAGCGAACTCGAGAGATGACCGACGTCAAAGGATCTCCTCGGGGTTCTCAGGGTGAGCTGGAGTTTCCGGGTTTCACAGCCGTGGCTTGTGGACAAGCCATGGCAACCACACTTTGGGAGTGTCACAGGCATCACTTGCGTTTGTCTGTTTGTCTCAAAATCGGGGGGGGGGGGGGGGGGGGCGGGGGAACCTCCACAAGTGGTTCGCCTGTTAGGTTCCCGAGCCGACCCCACAAAGGGCCTCCCTCAAAAGCGGCACGGCTGTGGCTGAATGGGGTGCCCAGCCCCCAGTTTGCAGAATGACGGCAAAATCTAGCGGACCCCTCGCTGAATTTTGCGCGACATCCGCCTAATCCTGCGCTGCGAGCCGCACAGGTCGGCTCCTTTCGTGGCCGACGCCGCGCCCTCTGCGGGCGTAGCCGTGGCAACTCCGGAGGTGTGCTCAAAATGAGGGGGGGGGGTTCAAAGAAAAACCAGAAGGTACCCAGATTTAGGTTTAAAAGAATAGTTTGCTCCAAAGAAAACACAGAAGGGAAAACAGAAAGGAACCGTACAGTTTAGGGGTCACCTATTTTGAGACAGGTGGGTGAAGCCTTGAAGACGCAATTTGTGCTCAGCACCAATGGCTGGTCTGACGAGGACAGATGGAAAGGATTGGGTGCGTGTTGAGGCTCGGCATCCCTTGGTTGGATAGATGTTTGATTCTTGCAACTAAGGCACAGGTACAGGGGGTTTTATTTTCCCAAATGGCAACGGGGCTTCTTTCAATTTCCCAAAACCAACCAACCTGAAAAGCACCGTCAAAAACACTGGATATGAGAGGGGGGGGAGGATGGTTTACCTTCAGCTAAAATGTACATCCATGCGTCGGTAGGGGGGGGGGGGGTCAGAGTAGACAGGAGTAAGGGAAGCAGAAGGGTGCATGCCCTTGTCAGGACGATTCATCTCTGCGCTATGCTTTCTATGTCTTCCCCGTCACGGCCAGCTTTAGCATCACTGCCGGTTTCCTGACTGAGCAGAGGGTTGTATTTTCTTCTTGCATTTTCTTGCGTAAGGGACGACTGACTCGACAGAGCCGGTCGATGGATGGCGAAGCCATCATTCTGAGGTGAAGATGGGAAGCTGCAATCCTCGCCCGCCTTCCAGTGACGGACCCAGCTTTAACTTTCGACCGAAGTTTCATTCGCCCCGTGTAAGGCCGCCCAAGATCAATTGGGATGACCCTGAGAGCGCAGAGCCCCTTGGCTGACCATGGGCACGACTGACGCTGGGTAAGATGCTCACTTCTTGTATCCCAAGGTACTGGATAAAGCTGGGAGGGCTGACCGTGCGCGGATTTGGATCTGCAGCCAGTGCTGGAAGCACACTCCCCAGCAACACCTTCTTCACGGTTGCGCGTGCCTTGACTTGAGATCTGTCAAATTCTCAGGCAAATGAACAACTCACCAAGCTTGTCCCTACCCACATACACACACACAGACACACAGACATGATTTTCTTTGGTTGGGGGGGCGGGGGGGGCATCAATGTTCGCACGTTTTCGCATGTCTATTACCACGCTTGTGTTGAGCGTGACTCACTCTGCACTCGGCGTTTGGCTGCATAATCTCAGCAACACCTCGCGAGCGTTTTCGCTCGGCATCGGTTCCTCTTTACCTTTGGGGGTTGCATGGGTGTCCGCGGGGGGGGGAGCCCGGCATTTGGACCCCAGAAAGTGTGGTTTGATGTGGAACAAACATGAACCTGCCTTGGCATTCATATGGCTTTCGCTTTTGGGCTGGACTTTCTATCCCACGAGAGTAAATTGCCCTTGAGGGACTTGCATTTAGAACGCCGGCGTTGCAGGCAAATGCCAGCAGCCGAGAGACAAAGAACAAGTGGGGTTTTCAGCCTCGCCAGAACATGGAACAAAGTTGGTACGCAGGTGCAAAGGACAAGCTCGGGGCAGTGGCTGACTCTGCTGTCCTGGGTCCAGTGGTGGAGCAGCCATCAAGCCTCTCCGCCTCGGACCTGACGAATGCGCTGGTGGCTCGAATGCAAATAAGCACAAGCCTCATGAACCGTAATCCTGGTGCTTCAGGAGGGGAAACGTATGGAAAAGTCAGATCTATCGAGCAAAACCGCCATCTCACATTGGCGAGGGAGACGCCACCAAGGCAGAGTCGCAGACTTCCAGCGACCCCAATCAGATTCTGATGTCAGTTCAGACGGTCATGAGCATGTCAGGCACGGCTTGTAACATTTGTGCCTTGTCATGAGCTGCGTCCATGCGAGAGCAGTGCCTGGAATGCAGGTTCTGTGGACGGGGAGTCCTCAACAGTGACGGCAATGGCACTTGATGCCTTGGTCAGCGTCACGACCATGGTTCCTCGACCCTGTGAAACTTTGTGCATTCAGTCGATCAGTGAACAGCAAGGTGCACTTTGAATTTGCACCTGAGGTAGATGCAAGTGATGAGACCTTGCAGCAAATGGGAACGGCTGTCACCCAGGCTGTTCGACAAAGCATGTACTGGAGCTGTCGTCGGCCACCGCTTTTTTTACCCAACTCCTGATTCAGCCAGGTAGTCGCTGGCAGCACTGCAGACAAATCTTCCTTGACAAAGGCTGCTGACGTGATCGGATCCTGCTAAATCCTTAGGCCTTCCCAAGTGCAGTGGCGTTCAAGAGGAAAATGCTCAGGTTTGGCGCTGGCCAGCGATGGCGTGTCGGCTGCTGCCGGCTCGTCACTGCTGGGAGGCATCGCGTCGATCGGCGGATCCTCCTCACAGCTGGACAGCACTGAAGTCGCTTGCTTGCATAGGTGCGATGTTGAGGGCTGATTGGGGAAGTCCGCAGGCAACGGAGCCCTCACCCCCAGCCGTCTCTGCCAACTCTGCCTACTCCGGCACCACTTCCGCCAGCCCCGATCAACCCGGTGCATTCTGACTGTCGATTTAGGTGAAGTCGGTGAGCTCGAAGCTCACCTCGCTGGTCTCCGACCTGGGACAAGCAGCCGTGAAGTCCTTGCAAGCTGGTGAGGTGCAGGACCGCACGAGCAGCCTTGTATTCCGCAAGGGACACGAATTTGGTCAACCATTCCGGCGGTGGTCTATGGTTGTTTTGCGAGGGACTCACTAACTTTCCCGTGTCCTCTGGGGAACGAGTGCGCAACCGAAGGGGGCCTTAGCAGCGGACCGATTTTTGTTTCCCCAGTGGGCTCATGTGTGCAGCTTCAGCGATTCTGTGCAGAGTCCGTGCCGATTTCTGCGTCGGCACAGGATTCCACGAAACAATGAATTTTGACTGCGGCTCACATGAAGCTTGGATGTCAGGAGATCAATTCGTTGGACGAGAGCGGAGAAGGCATCAAAATGGCTGTGACAAAGCAGTCAAGCGCTGAGGCGCGGCAAAACTCGAGATCCATAGGTCTCAGATTGCTCAAGGAAAGAACTCACTGAGCCACTCAAGCCGCTTGTTTTCCCGAAAGCATGGCGAAGGGTTCTTCCGCTGGGTTCACTTGAGTTGTTCTCATGAGAGTCATTACAAGGTGTCATTGCAAGGAATCATCATCATGAAAGTCAATGCAAGGAGTCATTGCAAGGAGTCATTGCAAGGAGTCATTGCAAGGAGTCATTGCAAGGAGTCATTGCAAGGAGTCATTGCAAGGAGTCATTGCAAGGAGTCATTGCAAGGAGTCATTGCAAGGAGTCATTGCAAGGAGTCATTGCAAGGAGTCATTGCAAGGAGTCATTGCAAGGAGTCATTGCAAGGAGTCATTGCAAGGAGTCATTGCAAGGAGTCATTGCAAGGAGTCATTGCAAGGAGTCATTGCAAGGAGTCATTGCAAGGAGTCATTGCAAGGAGTCATTGCAAGGAGTCATTGCAAGGAGTCATTGCAGGAGTCATTGCAAGGAGTCATTGCAAGGAGTCATTGCAAGGAGTCATTGCAAGGAGTCATTGCAAGGAGTCATGAGAGTCATTGCGAGCTGCGCATGGAGTCAAGTGCAAGTTGCAAGTGCAAGGAGTCAAGTGCAAGTTGCAAGTGCAAGGAGTCAGGTGCAAGTTGCAAGTGCATGGAGTCAAGTGCAAGTTGCAAGTGCAAGGAGTCAAGTGCAAGTTGCAAGTGCAATTGACTTGCGAGGAGTTAAAATCTCTTCTTAGGGCGGCGGGGTAGTGCCCACGACACTACACGAAAATTGACCCTCTGCGGGGATCGTGGTCGAGGTGCAAAAACTCGAGGTTTTTGCGATTTTTAACATGCTCGCGTGACCCTCTGCGGAGATCGGCGTGGTCGAGGTGCAAAAACTCGAGGTTTTTTGCGATTTCTAAAGATCCCGCGCGACCCTCTGCGGGGATCGGCGTGGTCGAGGTGCAAAAACCCATGGGTTTTTGCGATTTCTGCGATGCGCGCGCAACCCTCTGCGGGGATCGGCGTGGTCGAGGTGCAAAAACTCGAGGTTTTTTGCGATTTCTGCGGTGCTCGCGCAACCCTCTGCGGGAATTGGCGTGGTCGAGGTGCAAAAACTCAAGGTTTTTTGCAATTTTGGTTGTTCGAACTGGTCCTCGGGAGTTGTCTCGTGGTTCGCGCGCCTGCTCCCGGAACCGGTGGGTCGCGGGTTCGATTCCTCCCTGGTGCGCGGGCGGGCGTCGCAAGATGCAACTTGCAGTTTAAAGCAACTTGCGCAGAGCAACTTGCGCAGAGCAAGTTGCACAGAGCAACTTGCGCAGACCAACTTGCACCGACCAGTTTGCGCAGAGCGCCTTGCCTAGAGCAACTTGCGCAGAGCAACTTACGCAGAGCAACTTGCGCAGAGCAACTTGCACAGAGCAGCTTGCACAGAGCAACTTGCAGGGAGCGCAAATTGCACAGAGCAACTTGCAGGGAGCCACTTGCAGGGGCCAACTTGCCGGAGCAACTTGCGCGGAGCAACTTGCGCAGAGCAACTTGCACAGTGCAACTTGCGTAGAGCAACTTGCGCAGACCAACTTGCACCGACCAGTTTGCGCAGAGCACCTTGCCTGGTGCTGTCTCGCGCTTGCTTCACAAATGCTTCGTGGAGGGAAAAAGAACGCATCCTGCAGCGTTGGGCCGACCTCGCTTGCAATGTTATGCTTTCGGGCCAACCGTGGTCTAGTTTAAGGGGACACCAGATACTGTAAGCGCTACCCACTTGGGGTCCTGGAAGGAGCTCCAAGAACTATGGGAATCTTATTTAGTTTGTGAGTGTACACTGGAGATATGTAACTTGTCTTTTTCTTCGCCCAGGATTGGCAAGCAAGAGTTTTGGGGCGCAGATCCTAGCATGGGGCCCAACGCGAGCCCGCCTCCAGCGTCGATCCTTTTGGGGGATCCAAAGAATAAAGAGACTCAGCGTCAAGAAACTGGTTTCGTTTGAGACTGTTGGTGATTCATATTCTGCCAGTTATTGCAGTTGGCCTGGTCACTGCGGGAAACCAAGCTTCAAGATCCTACTTGACAAACCGGGTGGGATCTGTTTGCACGTCGAGCTATATATGCAGATAACTGTTGCCGAAAATCGTAGAGGCCTAATGCCGTCTGGTTTCCGTCGGGTTTTCCTGTGAACTATCCACAAGTGGGTCTGGCGCTGGATAGCCCGCATCGCTTTTGTCGAGGCTGCTGCCTCTGGCATACAAATGCGGCTTGGAACCAACCTGGAGTGCTTTTGTTTAAAGTTGGGTTTGTCGGCACGTCTAACATGGACCCCCCCCAATGGTTTCCTTTTTGGCTTCCTTAGGAGCAACCCCAAAAAAGGCACTGAGCCTTACACAAATACACCCATTTGCAGGTGGCCATTTGCAGGGAACTTTTTTTTGTTTGGTGCGCGTGTGCGTGCGCGTGTGCGTGTGCGTGTGGGTGCGTGCGTGCGTGGTGCGTGGGTGACCGTGTGTGACCGTGGGTGCGTGGGTGCGTGGGTGCGTGGGTGTGTGTGTGTGTGTGCGTGTGTGTGTGTGTGTGTGTGTGTGTGTGTGTGTGTGTGTGTGTGTGTGTGTGTGTGTGTGTGTGTGTGTGTGTGTGTGTGTGTGTGTGTCTGTGTGTGTGTGTGTGTGTGTGTGTGTGTGTGTGTGTGTGTGTGTGTGTGTGTGTGTGTCTGTGTGTGTCTGTGTGTGTGTGTGTGTGTGTGTGTGTCTGTGTGTGTGTGTCTGTGTGTGTCTGTGTCTGTGTGTGTCTGTGTGTGTCTGTGTGTGTCTGTGTGTGTCTGTGTGTGTCTGTGTGTGTCTGTGTGTGTCTGTGTGTGTCTGTGTGTGTCTGTGTGTGTCTGTGTGTGTCTGTGTGTGTCTGTGTGTGTCTGTGTGTGTCTGTGTGTGTCTGTGTGTGTGTCTGTGTGTCTGTGTGTCTGTGTGTTTGTGTGTGTGTCTGTGTGTCTGTGTCTGTGTCGTCTGTGCCTGTGTCTGTGTCTGTGTGTGTGTGTGTGTTTCAACAATGTTGCCTTGATCTTCAGGTCCAAAGGTTGGTTTCCTGTTGTTTTTCTGTCGGTTTCCTTTGGTCATGGTGAGTAGTGTATGGTCTCAGTCGCTCGGACTAGAACACACATGATTTCCTTTGAATATTGACAGCCAAGCTTTGGAAGAATTCAAAAGATGATTGCACCTGCAAAATGGTGTTTCCGAAGACGGGGGACCTCCAACAATTGACTGGGTTCCTTTTGCGTCCCCAATTTTGAACGAGTGTTCTTGGGTTTCATATTGATTCTCAGGGTACCATCCTGGTTGAGCTCAAGCACAGGGTTGGCAAAATGAATAAAGGAAACTAGAAGCAACTTTGCAACATATGTTTGATGACCTTTGCCGACCCCAAGACCGTCAGGGGCCCCGGACTCCTTTGTCCAGAGGTCTGAATCAGGCGTTTTTCAACGGCCAGATTTCATGATCTCTTTGAAAGGAAACCCCAAATGAGTGCGTTAAAGCATGTGTTCGCTTCATGCCGAGGTATGTTGGAAACCTCCCCTGGTCCTCAAGCGTGTGGCCTTTACCATCCCTTCTGTTTTGGGTGTATCTTCCATGGGTTTCAGCAAACCGCCTTTGCACCCATGCTTTTTCAACTGGAAGGGAGACTCATTGCCTCACATAGGTTTGGATCTGTGAATATGTCGGCACCGAGCGTTTTAGTAGTATGCAGCAGGTGGTGCTACTGCCTGGTTTGATTGCGGCAGTCCGGGGGGCAAGCCACACGCCCGAGGGGGAAGCTGTCGATGCCTGCGGGAGCTTTCGCGGGCCGGAGGCTAGCCGCGAGCTGCGGAGATTTGGAGGTGCAGATCACTGAGTGGCTGTCGCTGGGTCCAATTGGTTTGCAACATTGAAGATCATTGAAGCATTGAAACCAGTCAGCTCTTCGCTTTTCAAAGTGGATCTTCAACGTGTATTTCCCTTGTAGGCTGTAATTCTTTGGCAGCATTGTGTAGGGAAATGTGAGTCGAACCAGCTCCTGGTCCTGGCTCCCTTGGAAGGGACACCTAAAGCTGGTTGTCCATGGCTTTGAGTGGGGAACTGGATGGTTTTCAGGGGAAAGGCTGGAAACTAGAACCCTAGAGCGATTTTAGTCGGCCAACATGAAGGGCGTTTGGTTCACCAGTGCGTTGTCAACAATCTGAGTCGATTCCTTGCGGGATCCATGACAGTTCCTTCACCCTCGCATTCTTGAACAGGGGGGGTCCCTTTGAAGGGCTTCTTTCATACCACAACCAACAAGATGCACAAGGTTTTCCTGGGCCGGCACCATGGGGACTTTGAGATTGCAAGTGAGTGAGTGTCTGAATTCAGTGAGCCATACGCATGGTCTACAGCTGGAGTTGTGGCCTGACACATATAAGGGTTGCTTTTTTGAAGGTACCCTTTTGGGTTTGGTTTAAAGGGAAAGCAAAACAAACACCCCAATTTTTGGGTTTCCTATTTTGATACATACTCATACGCGTGTCAAGCTTGTTCTTCAGACGCTCGAAACATTGAGTCCTTCCTCGCCACCATGCTGGAGTTGACTCCAAGTTTTTCGTTCAAACGACTGCTTTCTGGGTCAGGGTTCTCTAAGTACCTCCCCTTTTGGTCATGTAAACGGTCGCCTTTGGGACCAGTACAAAGTGTGCGGAGCAAGTTTCCCATGTGGGGTGATGTTTTGGGTGGACATTTAGGGACCCATGTCAGCCTCGGACACGGCACGCCTAAGGAAGAGCAATCCCTACAGCTACACTCAGAACGTTGCCGGCAGCAATGGCTTGGTGGCTGAAAACGCCGATGCTTGCCTGAGGGGGCGAGAAAAGGCATCAGTGCGTGGATCACATTGGCGTGTCTTAGGAACCTTCCCCCCCGCCCCTCAAATGGTGGTTTTCCTTTTGGTATCCCTGTACTGTACGTCAACAAAACGTGGGTACCATTAAGCTGCACACCCCCATATGATTCCTGAAATTCAGAGGTAGGTTTCCTTGTCGAGACATTTTCTTTTTTTAAAGAATTATATTCGGGGTTTCAAAAGGAAGCCACAGAAAGCCACCCGTTGGCCAATTTGGATATATCTGATCCAAGGACACCTTTGCGGTGGAGATCACGTCCTGCTCTGATGCCACCGCCTGGCGCTTACCTGGGAGAGGACCGCAGCGCGCTTCTGGATTGGTTGGAAATTGAAGCCCTGGGTTTTGTGGGTACATGTTAACCAAACCACCAATCCAGACCACCAACCACAGGAAAGCTGACATGTCGTTCATGTATTTCAGGGAGCCCTGAGTTTATGTCGCCCCTGTTTTGGGGTGCCAAAAGATCTGGGATATTCGGTTGCAGACCTGGACCGAGGTCGTCTCAGAACCAGTCAGTGTGATGGCCTCGGATTGTTTCACTCCATGGATGTTGTCAGAGACTTCGGCCCCTGTTGGGACCCATTCGTTGTTGCCATTGTGTGTCTGCCATGTTTTTTCTTGGGTAGACCCAAGAAGGGTCACTAGTTTTGTCAAGCCCCGACTGGGTTTGCCAAGGTTTCCCTTCCTTTGCCAGCCTTCGGAGCCGCCCCTGCTGGTCTGGACCTTTCTGTGAGGGTGGCCTTGCATGAGCTATCCTTGCCTTGAGGCTACCGGTTCATCCCGACTTGTGCTCGCTTCGACGTACCCAGCGATTCCTGGACCAGCAATGGCGTCAGGGACTTAATTTGATGAAGCATGGTAAAAGGCCGCCTACTTGGTTCTGTGTTCAAATATATAGGGCCCCTACCTCCCCTTAAAATGGCGCATTTTCCTTGGGTTTCCCTGTTAAACCAAGGTGAAGCAGAAACCCTTCGAAACACACTCACATTGTGTTGCTGCCAGGTTTCCACTACGAATGCAGCGTCTGGTGCGCCACCCTGGACAGTCCATCTCACATACCATGCGGCTCATGTCGCTGTTGCCAGGCACGGTGATGTGTTCGTCGATGGAGACAAAGACGTCCTACGCAGTCTTCGCTCATGTCGGGAAGCTTGGGTAAGGCTAACTCTTGATTTGCGACCCAGAGACTCAGTAGGTCTCGTTGTGGCTCTTTCTTCCAAATAGTTTGTAATGTTCCTCAGGATGCATACCTGGTTTATTGATAGGGATACATGTATCATGAGGGTCCGAGTCCTCTCACTGGGCCCCAGGTCGTAGAGTCCGGCACCACCCAGCTATCGACGCTTGGCGAGACGGCCAAATGGTTTCCTTTTAGTTCCTCTTCGGCCTGCAGGGTATCGTCAAAAACGGCGATGAAACGTTGGGTGGGCTGGTTTCAGGTCAAGGGCAAAGGGATTGTGTCAAAATAGGGAGACCCTCAAAATGGCTTTCCTTTTGGTGTTGCTTCAAACCAACCTGAAAAGGGTACCCCTCAAATTTTGCCAAACAAACGGCAGGGCCTTTCTGCCGGCTTGCTCGCAGAGTCAAGTGGCACTGAGGACAAGCACTGAGCCGGAGCCAGGCACCACGAATGGGAGCGGAGAGGTGTCTAGCACGCCCTTTGGCTGCGTTTTGGGCCGAACAGAACAGCCAACCAGAACGCCGGACAGCTTCGGTGTGTCTTGGAATGCGTGTTGTATTTTGGCCGGCTTTGAAGGAAACTAAAGGTGCACATCAATAGAATACGTCCTGTTTCAGGAAACACCAATGCAAGTGAGCCAATGTCGATTTGGAGCATCTTTGCCCGGGGGTTTGCCTTTGGTTTCCTTTTCAGCCAACCCCCAAAAGGGTACCGTCAAACGAAGACGCAGCCACATGTACAAGTGGGGCTCTGTGAGAGTTCGATCGAAGTCGTAGCTCCGAGTCCGCGACCCTCCTCAAGCATTGCCGTCGCAGCTTGGAGAGCACTTGCACCCGTCCGGTCTTGTGCTTTGCTCGAGTCTGAGGCAGCATTGGCGGCCACGGCGGTGCAAATCTTGATTCCATTTGCGTGGGTGTAATTGTTGCGCGGCTCTCTGCTTCAGAACGGCAGAATTCAGGACAGGTTGGAGCCTGTCTCAGACTGACCAATTGCCAGCAGGAAGCAGGGCCGGCCTTAGATAACGCTCAAGTTGGAGTGTTCCAACATTGTCTAGGCACGGCAAACTCTGCCCAAGAGGCATGCCATTTTGCCAGGCCTTTTTGCACAGGATAGGTGTTTGTGGCACCCTTTTCTCGAGACTGAGGGTCTTGCTTATTTTGCGAGGGCCAGCCACTTCAAAGAAGTGACCTGCGCCACACTCTTGCCCCGATGCAGGTCAAGACAAGTAATGACAGGTGACAGGGCTGTATTTAAAAGCCTTGCCAGTTCATAGCTTGCAGCTTCCATGCCAGCTGTTATGCCATGCCATTTTTGGGAAGCATTCTTATTGGCTGACATATTGCTGGCTGCCAAGCGAGGCTTTCTTGAGCATCTTGACACCAAAGGTGACACAGATGTGCCAGAGAGTTGGTCTGCTAATGATGTTGGATGATTGCTGATCAGATCACTCACCCAACCGTATTCCCGGGTCGCTTTGCGGGCGTGATGTGTAGGGATACTTTGGTTCATTTTGAATCCTAAGAATCAACACAACTCGGAGGGTCTGACGCAAGCGCCTGCAAATGCACCCGCTTAATGATTTACTATGGATTAGATGGAGAGTGAGAGCCAGTTTGCGCTGGAAAACTGCACACTTTTTTGTTGCCTTGAAGATATTCATTTTGCGTGTTGAATGAAATTGAACATCTCCAACTTCAACTCAAAGAACCCGAAGAACTTTGACTTGACTGGTCGGTGCTGGCAGCATGTGGCTGATGTAGCTTGCATGGCCGGCGCACTTTGCGTTGTCTGCACCCCAGATAGTCTCTGTCATTGCGATCTTGCTGATCTGCATTGCAAGGTTGGTAGTCTTCGAGGCTAGGGCAAAAACCGAGAGCTTGCATAAACGTGTGCCATAATTACCTTCTTGGACTATTTTTATGCTACTTTAATGCCTCTCAAGGCGTGTGCGCACGAGAACCCCAGTTTGGGTAGGGAACTTTCGTTTGACCTTGGTGGTTTATGTTTTATTGCCGCAGGACAGCAGTAGAAAGTTATCGTGCGCGGCTGCGTGCTATGAATGCAACCAAGTTGGGCTGATTTGGCTTGACATCTTAGTAGAAAGCATCTTGCTTCTGGAGGCTGGTGCAGGAGTTTACGCTGGTGTATTTGCGCAACACCAGAGAGCTTTTCTTTCCTGAAAGGTCCCCGGCGTCCGTGTAGGTGCGAGGGACTGCCGACACAACCACACCCCCATGCTCTATGCGGGGGTCGCTGTGAGCTTCGGGTAGGGGGGATGCGGTCTCTGACCAGGATGCTTCCTACCACACGCGCAACGCACGTATGTGTAGTGTATGATGAATAGAAATGCTGCTGATGCAACCAAGCTCCTGGCTGGTCGTGCAATCGCTGATTGAGCGCCTTTTGTTCATGTTTCTCTTCCGGAGGACAACGGAAAGGCAGCTTGGCTGCTGTGTCTGGTGATGGAGATGCCTGCAGAAGCAACCAAGCTCCCAGTTGTTGATGCTTTGGGTTTGTTGCGAGAGGGCTTCAGTGGGAAACAGTCGGGGCGATTCGTTCTTTTACACGTGTTTTACATGCAGCCCGTGTAGCAGTCGAAGCAGTTCAGAGGCTGTGTGTGCTGGATGGGGGTTGCTACTGATGCAATTAAGCTCTCTCCTGCTCATGCTTCTTGTTTCTCTTTTGAAAGGCCCCCTCAGACTTGAGTATGCGCCTTTGGCTTGCCTCCATTTGTTTATCGAAGGACGTTAACGGAAAGGCAGCCACGCACACGCGGCTGTGTCTGAGCGGTGGAGATTTAGCGGAAGCAGCCAAGCTCCTGGCGGGTGGCAGTTTGTTTTTGTGGTGAGAGACCCTCGCCGGGAACCAGTTGGGCGATATGGCCTTGTGAAAGGAAGGATTTTTTTAATTTTATGCCTGACATTGGATGTACGCGTGGTAGTGGGCACAGCGAGGAGTCTGTATGTGAAAAGGGCTGCTGCTGATTCAGTAAGCTTCTAGCTGGAGAGGCGTGTAGTTTTGTGTTTGCGACTTCCTCGGTTTTTTCGAAAAGTCCCCGGCAAGTCACGGGTAGGGACCTTTCGTGTGACCCCGTGTTCGCGTATTTCGCTGCAGCTCACAGGTTGTGCCTGATACTGGAGATGCTGCCGATGCAACCAAGCTCCTGACTGGTGATGCTGGGCGTTTTTTTGGTGAAAGGTTCAGCTGTCCTCACATCTGAAAGGCCCTGCAAGGCATACACAAGGACCTTCACGTGCATGTCAGGTTCTCAAGATAAGTGCAGCCCCCACGGGGCGTCAGCAATGCTGGTGAGTGCAGCATGCTGGTGATGCAGGTGATGTTGATGGGGGATGTTGAGGAAGCTGCGCCCCGCCCCCCTCCCCCCCGACCTCTCCCGCCGCAAAAGTCAAGATGAGGGGTAAGGAGCAGCTGCATTTCTCGTGTCGAACACGGCGTCGGTTGTGATATTTTTGCTTGGATAGGGGACCATCGCAGGCAGTAGTGGCCTTTCAATAGTGGTAAACGACGCTACGGCAGACAGAACTTAGCGATGTCATTCTTGCAGGCAATTCCCTGCTGTTGCCTCATGGCGAACAGTCAACGTCGGAATCCTCATGGCATCCTCAATGACCGAGCGGCGCTGCGCGAGTTTTTAATTTCAACGCAAGCCCTTTGCGGACTCTGCGTGTGCCGCTTGCTCTCGTTTTGGCACTACCAGAACAATTGCTGAAGCACACTGTGGGTTTCTGCCAGCACGGCTCAGGCTAGCTAGCACACTTGGTAGCCAGCTAGCTATGCTGACAAATTACGTAACTAGCTAGCTATCCAGCCAGCTAGGTAAAAGCAGCCAGCTTCATTCCACGAGTTAACGCGGCTCAACTAGCTAGCTAAATGACCAGCTCTCTAGCTGACACTTGCTAACTAGCTGACCATCTAACTAACTGGCAAACAGCCAGCTGGCAAACCGTAGCATGGGGCTAGTTCTCGTCCCGACGTCATACGTTTGAAAGATCGATTTGTTTCGGTTGCCTCAGCCTTACCGCAGCTGAAAGGGCCGAAATACCACAGGCGACCGAAAAACGTGGGGAAGATCGGACTTTTCGGGTGAATTGTTCGGAACACATTTGCGTAATTAGTTGCAAACCATGGGGCGCATCAATGAAGGAGCTTGCCAGCTCCATTGTGAAGCTGCGTGGCCAAGAGTTTACCCTTCCACAACCCGGGATCATGTTGCCCGGGCTTAGTGGGGATTCATCACTTTTTGAGGGAAACACCGCCCTATGAATAAACTGGGGTTGATGACTATGGGGTCAACATTATGCTGAGAAGATGCGCTGTTTTGCAGTCCGAACATGGTCAGAGTGTGGCAAGGTGCATCATGCCGGGTCGTGTTCTCGGCCTACTTGTGGCGGCCGGGCCAGCAAGTTTTGCTCGATTTCAGACAAAGGAAAAGGAAGCTGGCCATTTGGAGGGGTCTTTTGATACTCGTGAGGATGTGTGTGCGAGGAGCCATTGCCTGCGGCCGTAATTGCTTTTCAAGTTCACTTTGTCAGGTGTTTTTGCGCTTTCGTGAGCCTTGGCTGCGTTCAGCCGGTCACACTGCGGTTGCCCCCCAAATCTGAAGTCTCGGTTTCACCTCATGACCTTTTTCGTTTTGCAGCCATCTCCACTAGCTGACTGTCTTTGCGGCACGTGCGACGCCTGCGACCAGTGTCAATTACCCAGGCCTAACAGTTGGCTTTTTCTTGCACGACAACTGCGCAGCAAGCGTGCAGCAGTTGGCTTCCCATCAGAGGAACCCCCAAAATGCCTCAAACGCGACACCCATGGGTGCTTCCGGTTGGGCACTGAGGACGTGTTCGGGGATGGTGCTGTGCCCGCACAATCGGCTCTGGGAGTGCGACTTGCAGACGAGGACTTGCAGCAGGAGACACGGTGGTTTCCTCAAAAACCTTTACTGTAACCGCCGAAAAACGGGCCCAAGTTGCACGAAACACCCACTGAGACTGAGGGGTAGTTCACAGGCAACGAACCACCTCAACTTCCCCATCTCCCCCTGTCATTTTTGGTGTGGGGAGGATATGGGCGGCTGAAAACACCTGCAAAACACTGTGGGATCGCAGCCAATTTCGGAGTGGCTCGCAAGCGCGACTCGAATTCAGATGGGTTCCCTTGCAAACGACCTCAAACAGGTACCCTCAATTGGTCCAAGCCCAAGCCTGGTTTCTTGACCTCCATTTCACCTTCCACTTTGCCCAGCAAAAAGCAAAGCAAGAACTCCGCCAGGGTGCGATCGCTGGCAAGCTATACATCCGGAAGCCCATAGTGGATGCCTCCAGCCCCAGCATCGATTACTTCTCCGCCGCCCGCCCACGGCTGGCCGGCGCTTACGTCGCAATGTGTCACACTGGGATCCCCAAAACGTTTAGTTTCCGTTGTTTCGTTTAAACCAAGGTGATGGGTTCCCCTTAAGAAAGTGAAGCCAAGGTGATGCCAAAGAACCGAATCCACAGTTGCCCGCACGGGCAAATAGATCGGCTCAGGCAGAATAAAGCTAGGGATTCACACCATAGGGGATGGGTTTTCTTAAGATCATGCCAATTCTCATCGCTTATCCAACTGTCTCGGGTTCGCCGCTTCTTGAGTCCGTATGACTTGACTTCCATTTCCCCCACTCACTGGACCATTTTGTGCTTTGTCTAGTCTCATGCGCCCAACGACTATGTTTGTTCATAGGCGCGCCCTGAAGGTTGGTGGACTGCCTAATGTAAATGATATGGGCCTTTGGCTTTCCTTTGAACCAGGGCCCCAAAAGCGTCACTCGCACGGCGCTCAACGTGCACACGGCAAAGCGGTGTGGCACGTGTTCCTCAGAGGTCTCTACCGCATGGGCCTGCTCAGGTCATTTGCTGAGCGGACAGGGCGGGATGCCGTGAACTGTAAAAGTGTGCGCTCAGCCGAGACGAGGGCTGAGCGCATAAGGCAAATGGACAACCCCGATTCGGGAGGACCAACCTTTATAGGCGAAAGATTGAGTCTGCGGGTTTCTCCGATGTCAACCTGGTATTCGGAAGCAACAGCACGAAAGAAAGCACGAACCAACTGGAGGTCAAGAACAACGGTGGGTTGAACATTGGAGTAAGCCCCAAATTGAGTGGGGTCCCGCCATAAGTTGCCGCCAGGCGAGGAAATCTGCACTGGAAATGGGACACCCTCAGTCCGCAGAACAGCAACCGCCTCAAGCCATGAAAGGCGAACACAAACCTCAGCATGTTGTTGCTGGGCACGAATCCATGCAAGGGCAGCATCTGCAAAAGCCCTACCAAAATTCTCTGCAAGGCGAGCCTCGGAGGCTCCTGGAGCAAGCCATTTGGCCCAATCGCAGTTAGCAACTGGGCGTGTGACAAAAAGGTCATCGGTTGGCAAAACCTCCTCACCGAAATCTTCAAACGGACCTGGAAGGCCAGCGGTGTCAGCAACATCAAGATGCAATCTGAGCAGCTTTTCAAGCCTATTGCAAGTGTCAACTTGGCTTGGCGAGAAGTGGGCCAGAGGCTCTGAAAGACGCTCACGCAAAAAGACTGGCGACGAGTCTGACGCGTACAGCTACTAATCCAGGGCAGTGCAAACATCGATGGGTGATGTCATCGTCAAGTTCGCATAGCACGCGCTTGCCGTCCGAAAGATTATCATATTTGCGCTTGTGTGAGCCAGTGAAAAAGGATCCATCCCGCTGAGCATGAAGTCGCGAAGTCTCGAGGGCAGTCAACCGTCGTTCTGATTGGCGACATAGAGCACCATTGATACCCCGAAGATGTTGAAAGTCGGACCGATCAGCGACGGCAGTTGCGAGATGCTGATGCCACGCGTCCTCAAGGTGCAAATGCAGGATGTCCTTGGGAATGACTGCAAGTTTGTGAGGTATGCCGTCATGATCACAAAGCTGCGGGGGTGAGTCGATGGACCAGCAAATGTATCCAAGCTGCCGTAGCAAGGTGGAAACGGTCCGGCTCCAAGTTTTCCGTTAAACGAATCCATGTACTGTCGCCAATGGCCCAGAAGAGAGTCCGACTGGGCAGGTAGCCTCCGGAAATCCCGCAAAACCGTCCACAGTTGGAAGAAACCCGGATAAGCGGCGTCCGCTCCACGAGCAACCCAAGGCGAATGGCAGGGTTTGAGCCAGCCTTGCCTGCGCCTAAGGCATGGGAAGCAGCAGTACGGAGCTGTTGAATGCGTAGAGGATAGTGGCTGTGTCAGAGCCAGTCAATTGCTGTGTCTGACAATGTGACAGTTGCTTTCGCCCTTGCACACTTTGCATGAGCCCTGATGTTCCAGCTCAGGCCAGAAAGTCAAGAAAATGATCTTCGGTGTTGCAAGGAAGGAACTCGTCGGGCAAAAGGGATGGAGCGCCTTGCAACTTGTGTGATCTGGTTGGATACCAATCCTAGAAAAGACGATCTGAAGCCGCGCGCCCCTTGATTGCAACCCACGTCTCCAGCCGATATGCAAGATGTGTCGGCTCACATCCTCCTGCCCGAAGATTGTGCAGCAGACCCAAAGGACTGCTCTGCCTAAGAGGTACTTCTCCTTCACGGCTGGGTCGAGCAACTGGGGCTTGCTGAGGGTGCCTGCATGGCCGCAAACGCCGCCCACGCCCGCGTGATGCAGAAGGGAGACCTTCTTTGCCATGAGTCCGAAGATGGTCATGCAGAGTATCCTCAAAGGAGCAAAAAAGGATTGTGGTACTTAGTAGTGAGGTTGCCCGTTTGATCAAACAAGGGCGCAGTGGTCTGTGCGTAGTAGGTCTCCATGTCAATCTCCTGCCACGGGAGCAAAGCTGGCATTGGCCATCTGAAGACAGCATGTGCATAATCCGGCAGCTGAAAAGTGGCAGAAAGTGCTACATGATGTGCAAAGGCCGGCGTGACCAAGGTCTGAACAAATACAGCTGCAAGTTCGGGTGACACAAAACCCCGGCGAGATTGCCCACGATAAGTGGGCGAAGGGGCCTGACCAGTGAGGAATTGCCGAAGCTGCTGTCGATCCATCCAGCATCGGTTCTCATGGTTGAAATCACCACTGATGTACCTGCAGCCCGCGACCAAGCAATTTCTTCGGTAAGTCAACAAGGCGCGGTGTTGGTTGCTGTAGCAGCAGAGGCCCAGGTTGGAGAAGTTGGCCAACCACACACACATGCGCCAGTGATGGTTGTGGGTCCGATAGAGAAGCCAGAGCTAATGACTCTGCCCAAAGAGCTTTCCTTGCAAGGCCAATGAAAGTGAATTTAGCCGGAGTGTCGGAGAGCTGCGTGACACCAGCCCAAACTCCAGCTGTCTGTGATCTGGTTCATAATGGAATGGCTGGGCCCATCAAAATTCGTAGGCGTCGGTTGTCTCGTCGAGCGCCATGACGTAAGACCCTCCAACGCCCGCATTGAGGGAACCGCAAGATGGGTCTCAGCAACATTCCAGATACTCGAGGAAGGTCAAGAAGAGCATCTGCTTTGCCAATTGCTCCAGAGTGGTTGGCCACCCCAATACACAACAGAGACCTTGGATGGTGAGCCTCTCCAATGCGAAGGACTTGTGGTATAAAGTCCTTGCAACATCCAAAATCAAAAATGGCATGGCTCCAGCTTTCACCCAACCAGAATTCGCGGTGGTCCGCGCTGTGCAGGTAGAGCCTGACAAGGTATATGCTGGAGCAAATGCCTCCGACCGGGGAGCAAAATGTGATCTCGGTGAACCTGCTGGTCCGAATAAGATGCAGGGATACCCGGAGCTGGCAACTGTGTTGCGACATGGTTTGACCCAAGGTATTGATCTCAGTCTGCTGGATGGATACCTGAGCAGCAACTTGGTTGCGAAGGTACTGCTGGGTCTTGGACGAGGCCACAAGAGCCTTGGGGTCTGGGTCTTGGCGTACCTGCGAAACAACGACATCCCCATGCTGGCCCTGTAGAACACTGGCAGGTGGCGGATGACAAGAGCCAACGTTCTCCCCACACCTTTGTGATGGAAGCCCACTCAGCGATGGACCCCTTGCAGTGCTCACCACTACGTGTGTTCCTTTTGAGCTCATTGGCGTGCTGCCGGTGGACCACATTATCTTTCCCGCTCAACATCTCCGCACCCAGGAAGCCGTTCTCATTCATGGCTCCATCGTCCAGCTTGGGCAGGTTCGGATCAATCGTGAGGTTCGCAAGAGCGCGCCCAACGTTGCGCCGACACCAACGCGCAAAGCTGCACGTTTATCGTGATCAATTCCCCGCTCAAGGCCACCATGCAGCAACAGCCGCTACTCACCTTGTGTCGGACCGCATGTTGATGAAGAAGAGGAGCTGAACACTGTCATCATGGATGTCTGGAGCCGACAATGGATGAGCTCTCAGGGCCTCAAGGTTGACTGCAACACTGCAGACATTTGGAGCGCCTTCATCAGAGCCCCGGCTGTTGCCCACTCCATTGTCCTTGCAAGCTCTGGATCCTTTGCGATTTACTTTGATCTGTTGTAGATTGCCCAGCGAGGATTATGGAGTCATTTGGATGCCGGGTGGCTCATTTTCTGACGCCACGCACAAGCTGCCATCGCTCTTGGCCACAAGCAGCTGGCGCCGGATGAGCCTTTTGTCAATGTCGAGATCACGAAGATCTACCGACTCCATCCTTTGCCACATGGCACTCAGCGACAGCACTTGGTCAAATCCTTGAAGCTGGGGATGGCAGGCGAGACCTCTGCAGCCGGCACGCACTGGTGGCAAAAGCGATGCCGACCTGGCCGCAAACGTTGCTGGCGATGGTGCCAATTCTCGTTCCATCTTCGGCCAGAAAAGACCCAGGTAACAGGTCAAGATCTCCAGGACAGACTTGGGGAGCTGGCTGGGATGGTTGCTGCGTAGTGTTACCCTTGCCTCCGCTGGGGCTATCTGGCCAAACGACTTGCCTCTCGTGCGGATTTTGTCCATGAGCTCATCGTGCTTCAGGACTCAAGCATTGCCGAATATCACCAGCGCCTGATCCGCTTCAAAGCCTGTTGTGCCCGCTCGGCGGCCCTGGAATCTGGGACTCCCTTCTTGACAAGCAGAGGCACAAGTGCAGAGGTGACCTTGTTGTCAGCAGAGGCCGGACCGGTCGCGACAAAGTCACGACGTGGTCCGTGCAGCCAGACCGGGCAGCTCGATGTGAGACGCAGCTCTCGATCATCTGTACCAAACTCCCCATTGCGGAAGTACAGAAGTTCTTCTTCGGCGAGGGCCAACAGCGACTCATCCTCCCTTGACCAGAGGGGCCAATTGGCTGATCGTGCGAAAGGACTTGTCCACGTCGAACGTCCGAGGCGCCAGGATTGCCCACCGTCGGTCGGCGTTGATCCTGCACACGCAATGTAATCATTCTGACCTGAAAATCCATGAGATCAGCCAGCCGGTGCAAAGCTGCAAATATGAAAGGATGCCGCACGACCAATGCTACACATTCCATGATCATCGCAGAAGATTGCAAGTGCCCGAAGTGTGCGGTCCTGGGCCCCTTTTTGATCTCCCTGCGGCGAAGAAGGTTGATAAGGGAATGCAACAAGCGCTGAGGAGAAGCTGCAGAATGCAATTGGGCAATAAAGCTGTCGTCACACACCTCGCCAGCTACGACATGTAGGGCACCATTGGCTCTCAAAGTGTCACAAGCAAGGGGGTTGTGATCGAGATGCGCCAGAGGGCCTCCTTTCAAGGAACCAATGCCAATGCCTCCAAGGTCTACGCGAATTTCCCGCACACACTGAAACCGCGAAAATTCCAAACGATTCTCCTGGCCGGAGTGCAGGCGAGCCCAGACTTCTCCGGGAGGACCTCCAAAAAGCTGACCGCGCCAGTGAGACCGCGGGGCTCAACCATATGAGCCATCCAGTGCGCCAACTCCTAAGCTTCTGCCGACGCAGATCCACCAACTGACAGGTCTTGAACCGAGATCTGGGCCCCAAAAGCGTCAAAGGCGGATAGCCGTACCCACGAAGCCCGCCGGGCAGAGTCCGCCAGCCGAGGTCTACTGGGGCTCTGATGCCAGCACCAAAGCCGCGGAAGATCCTTTTGCTGCTCGAATGGTTGGATTCTGTTGTGTGTGTGTTTTCTTTGGGGTATCCCCTGATTTCCCAAAAGGATCATCCCCCAAAAGCACCATGTCCGGAATAGGGACGCTGAAAGCTGAAAAGAAGCTCGTCTTTTGCGACCTGGCATGGACCTGTTCACACCGTTGTAGAAGCCAAGCAACATTCCCCCAGGGCTCCATATCTTGAGCACATCTCTTAGCCGCCAGCCCCAGGTCGGATCCCACCCCAAGCGTTTACCCTTTATCCAGAGGGCATCAAGATCTGAAGTGAAGGAATCAGGACAGCTTGGTTGCCTTTCGAATCCCTTCAAAACCCTAACAAAGGGTGTTTCTGTTTTGAGAGACCTATCTTGGGAGGCGGTGATTCCTTTTATTGACCCCTGATCACGCAGAGTGGTTTCGCGGGGTGGTGGAGCAAAACCCCACTAAACAAGGGCTCCCCACCAATTTCCTGGGTATTGCTCGGAGTTCAACATTAAAGAAATCTGCCTTGGAGATTTTTCCTTCCAGTATCAGTATCTTCCTGACTAACTTAGGTGAGATGTGTGAAACTGAGGGACCTGGATCCATTCTCAAAAAGGCAACAGGAGCAAGTGACGAACATACCAGAAAGCTTGTTCAACGGGTTCCAACAGGTTCCAATCGGGTTCCAATCGGGTTCCACGCACCAACCGTGCGTATCCAAAAGGGGCCCTAAGTTAGGACCCCTTTGAACGGGTCCAAATTCTTATGGGGAGGGCATGGGGCTCCAAAGTTCCCACTTGCCTCAGGCCATCTCCTACCTCAACAGCAGCAGCGGGCCCTCCCCTACCTGCTCTGGCATATCTTGTGACAGGCGCCCAAGCATTTGCCCGCGGGGAACCAATGGGTGTCCCACGCGGGGTTGCAATGTTTGTCCTTTTCAGTTTGTTTTGCTCCATATGTTTTCTCAGAAGAAACGACTCCTCAAAAGGGGGCCAGCACGCAAGTCGCACATGGCGTTCGGGCTTGCTTTCGGCTTTTAGGAAAAACACCCTGCGTTTCAAAAGAAGGTTCAATCATTTGAAGCGCTCGAGCGCTCTTGGGTTTGCCTTGGTTCCTTGGACGCAAATCGATGGGTCAGCCTTCTGGTGGATGCGCCTGCAGCCCTAGGCAAAGCAGAGAGAGCGTAGGTGTTTCTCAAAAATTAGGGAGCCCTCCCGGCGGTGACTTCTCTCTAAATTATGGAGAGCACAGAACCGCCCATCCCACCGCTTTCTAGCGCATGGTTCGTGCCACTCCAGGATTACCATCGAGCGGCAGGGGAGCAGTTGGCTCATTGGACGAGGGATGAGTGGCTATCAGAACAACGAGCAGGCAGACATCTACCTGCCAAGCTACTTGACAAGCTGTGCGTGCGTCCCGAACCCGGGCCGCCTTGTTTTCTGATCGGGATGGTCTGGTTGAGTGTCTTCCTCAACTTGGGTGATGTCCTTTTGTTAACGTAGTACAAACGGAACAAGCTCCGCAAAGTTGGCGCTTCTTGGACAGTGCGTGCTGAGGTGCTGGCAAAGTCACAGTGTGGCTTGCTCTGCAAAAAGTTTTGTGGACGTTGGTAAGAACATTCCTCGCCCCTTCTTTGCCGTGGATGCCTCTTAAGGACATCCTTCCGCATTGAGTCTGGCTGGGATTTCCTGTTCATCGATGGAGCTCACTACAGTGGGTGACTTGGCAATTCGGAGCCTAGCTTTGGAACGAGTTGGAGTTGTGCTTCCTGGGGCTTCAAATGGGTCCCTAAAATTACGGGCTCCATTTGGATGCCAAGAGGTAGCTAGTTTGGGGCTCCCATGTTTGAAAAAGTCTTTCCTTAGCAAAGCAAGCCAAGTATAAACTGAAAAACCACGAATGGGCGTGTTGGTGCAGGCATGTCAGGGGTTCTCAATACGTATGCCTGCCTCCAACTCATGCTGACCAATCTGCGAGCTCAGCGGACTTTCCCGCGTCACCTGCGCCATGGTGAATGATATGTGTGTATATATATATATATCTATACATGTATAAAGAACATATATTATACATACACAAATTCAATGTGCGTGCGTATTTTTTTTTGGGTACCCTTTGTGGGGGGTGGACATCAAAGGAAACCAACCTTTTTCGGATGTCCATTTCTTCATGGAGCCGAGGAGCTATTCCTACGGCGCCATCGAAGCGAGCCCGACTGGGCCGTCCCGTGGCTAGCGAGTCGACAGGGCCTCCGTTCAGGGCTCGTCTCGAACTAGATGGCCCAATCCCTGAACGGGCCAAATCTGTTTTTCCCGGAAGCATTGCGAAGGGTTCTTCTTCTAAAAGCGGCTGCAAACTTCACCTGCCAACTTCTCATGCCAACTTTTCGAGAGTTATTTCGAGAGTTACTTCACCTGCCAACTTCTCATGCCAACTTCATCACCTGCCAACTTCTCATGCCAACTTAACCTGCCAACTTTTCGAGAGTTATGTCACCTGCCAACTTATCATGCCAAATTGTCGAGAGTTACTTCACCTGCCAACTTCTCATGCCAACTTGTCGAGAGTTACTTCACCTGCCAACTTCTCATGCCAACTTGTCGAGAGTTACTTCACCTGCCTACTTCTCATGTCAACTTTTTGAGAGACCTGCCAACTTCTCATTACCACCTGCCAACTTCTCATGTCAACTTTTCGGCTGTTATCTCATTCTACTAAAAGCACAAGCTAATTTGTCGGGTGTTACTTCACTATCCTAAAAACACAAGCTAACTTTTCTGTTCTACCTTCACTTCTCGACTCTTAATTCTTCTTCTTTTTCTGGCGGGGGTAGGCCCGACAGGAGCTTACAAAACGCACCCCTCTGCGGAGATCGTGCGTGTCGAAGCGCTCTCGCTGTGGCGCCGTGCGAATTTGTCTTGAGCGCGGCGAACCCTCTGCGGAGATCGTGCGTGTCGAAGCGCTCTCGCTGTGGCGCCGTGCGAATTTGTCTTGACCTTGGCGAACCCTCTGCGGGGATCGTGCGTGTCGAAGCGCTCTCGCTGTGGCGCCGTGCGAATTTGTCTTGAGCCCGATGAACCCTCTGCGGGGATCGTGCGTGTCGGATCGCTTCTTCTTAGTCTCGGCGCTCGTATTTTGTCTTGAGCCCGATGAACCCTCTGCGGGGATCGTGCGTGTCGAAGCGCTCTCGCTGTGGCGCCGCGCGAATCTGTCTTGGTCGCGGCGAACCCTCTGCGGAGATCATGCGTGTCGAAGCTCTCTCGCTGTGGCGCCGTGCGAATTTGTCTTGACCTTGGCGAACCCTCTGCGGAGATCGTGCGTGTCAAAGCGCTCTCGCTGTGGCGCCGTGCGAATCTATCTTGATCTCGGCGAACCCTCTGCGGAGATCGTGCGTGTCGAAGCGCTCTCGCTGTGGCGCCGTGCGAATTTGTGTTGACCTCGGCGAACCCTCTGCGGAGATCCTGCGCGTCGAAGCGCTCTCGCTGTGGCGCCGTGCGAATTTGTCTTGGTCGCGGCGAGCCCTCTGCGGAGATCGTGCGTGTCCAAGCGCTCTCGCTGTGGCCCCGTGCGAATCTGTCTTGACCTTGGCGCACCCTCTGCGGGGATCGTGCGTGTCGAAGCGCTGTCGCTGTGGCGCCGTGCGAATTTGACTTGACCTTGGCGCACCCTCTGCGGAGATCGTGCGTGTCGAAGCGCTCTCGCTGTGGCGCCGTGCGAATTTGTCTTGACCGCGGCGAACCCTCTGCGGAGATCGTGCGTGTCGAAGCGCTCTCGCTGTGGCGCCGTGCGAATTTCTTGCTCGCGAAACGGCCTTTGGAAGTTGTCTCGTGGTTTGCACGCCTGCTTTCGCAATCCCGCGGTCGCGGGTTCGATTCCTTCCTGGTCCGCGGCAGCTCCGGCTCGAACATCGCAGCTTTTAAGCGCAAACGTAGTACTCGGAGCGGCTGGAAAATCGCAACTTTTAAGTACAGACGTAGTACGCGGAGGCTGCTGCAGCTCCGGCTGGAAAATCGCACTTTTTAAGTACTGACGTAGTACGCGGAGCGTGCTCCCGCAGCTCCGGCTGGAAAATCGCAACTTTTAGATACAAATGGCTGGAAAATCGCAACTGTAAATTGCAAATGTAGCACGCGGAGCGCCTCCGCCGCTCCAGCTTTTTGAGGGTTAATTACTTCTCCTGCCAGTTTCTCATGCCGAAACTTCGAGAATTACTTCACCTGCCAGCTTCTCATGCCACCTTTTCGAGAGTTACTTCACCTGCCAACTTCTCGTGCCAACTTTTCGAGGAGTTTCTTCACCTGCGAGCTTATCATGCCAACTTTTCGAGAGTTACTACACCTGCGAGCTTCTCATGCCAACTTTTCGAGAATTACTTTACCTGCCAACTTCTCATGCCAACTTTTCGAGAAATACTTTACCTGCAAACCTCTCGTGGCAACTTCACCTGCCAACTTTTCGAGAATTACTTCACCTGCCAACTTCTCATGCCAACTTTTCGAGAAATACTTTATCTGCCAACCTCTCGTGGCAACTTTTCGAAAAATTACTTCACCTGCCAGCTTGTCATGCCAACTTTTCGAGAGGTACTTCACCTGCCAACATCGCCTGCCAACTTTTCGAGAGTTACTTCGCCTGCCAACTTCTCGCGCCAACTTTTCGAGATTTACTTCGCCTGCCAACTTCTCATGCTAACTTTTCGAAAGTTACTTCACCTGCCGGCTTCTCACGCCAACTTTTCGAGAGTTACTTCACGCGCCATCTTCTCGTGCCAACTTTTCGAGAATTACTTCACCTGCCAGCTTCTCACGCCAACTTTTCGAGTGTTACTTCACCTGCCAACTTCTCATGCCAACTCTTTGAGAGTTATTTCACCTGCCAACTTCTCATGCCAACTTTTCTCTTGAGTTACTTCGCCTGCCAACTTCTCATGTCAACTTTGCGAGAATTACTTCACCCGCCAACTTTGCCAGCCAACTATTCGAGAGTTACTTAACCTGCCAGCTTCTCATGCCAACTTTTTGAGAATTACTTCGCCTGCCAACTCCTCATGCTAACTTTGCGAGAGTTACCTCACCTGCATCAACTTGCCTCTATGCTTCCGGGCCACTCGTCGTCTAGTTGTTTTTGTGTTGTTTTTGTTTTTTAACACCCCCAAAGCCAAACGGTAAACCATCAGCTTTGCTTGTCGAATGTGTTTCAAAGAAGCCATGTGCCCTGATGTCGAAATTCCAAGCATGACTTTGACTTGTGTCAGGAGCGTCATTTCCTGGCAATCTGATGTTTCAGTCACCCAAGATGGCTGGGAGCTTACATTTGAACCTATCTCCGACCCTCAGCTGAAAGCAGAGCTTTGCTGCTGTTTGTGATGCAAAGAAGCCGATTTGTGATCATGCGAAGTGTCCCGAAGCCAAGGTACCGATTCACGAAGTGGACACTGCAAGAATGCTGATTCCACCAGCCGCGTCGCACGTGCTGGTGTACCTTGTTGGCTCTTCACCAGTAGTTGAAAAGCGATTTCTTATGCTTGGCAGTTTCCTGATTTACGACCAAGCAAGGTACTCAGGGAACGGCTTTGGGGAGATGCAAACACCAGCCTTCTCGCCCATCCATGACATGTTTGTGCGCAGCCCAGCGCTCGACAGCCACACCGGTGACGTGATTTGCCTCGTTGAGAGTTTCCAGAGCGATCGATTTTTCTCAGGTCATTGCGCCGCCATCCTCACTCACCTTTGCGGACAGCTCTGATGCGCCCCACCACATTAGTGGCCCTCTTCAGATTGCGGCTTCCCAGAGCACTGATGTCTTACGACCCTTAGCCAATATTAAGACAGCGAACAGCTTCTCAGGCGCCATTTGGGGTACTCGGGAAACCAACATGATACGGAGAACATCTTCCAATCAGAATGCATGAAGCCGAAGCCCTGTGGGATAAACCAGCCACCAACATGGGAAGAGGATTTTCTTCAGCCATCTTGGTGTTGGGGGACGCTCGGCTTTTTGCTTGCACGAGACCCCGAGAAGGGGGCCGAAGGCCGAATCCACTGAAGTGAAGGCCAAACGACACCAAGCAACACACTTGCGAAACAAACAAACAGCAGACAGCAGCAAACAAAAGGCATAGAAACAGCACCCAGAAAAAAAGGCCGGGGTGGGGGGGGGGGGGGGAAGGGGGAGGGGACGCCCGTGCCATCGACTCGACTCGCGCGATATCTTAGGCTATGATGTCTTCTTCGGGGCCGGGCAGGTGCGCGGAGTCTGCTCTGGGCTTATGGGCTTCCGCTTCCAGCCAGGCAGGACCCGCATGTCGCGGGGACCCTCGAGCTTCCCATGAAACGAGTTGGTCGCATGGGATGGACCCAGGGATTTGGTGGGGGAACTGGTTTGATGGCTTGACTTTATTTGGTCAACTCTTGGGGTTGTGAAGGGACGTCAAAGGGAAACCGGCCAGTTATTGGGTTCCATATCCTGTTTTGAGAGAACTTCAAATCTCCGCCATTGATTTGGCTGGGGTGAAGCTTCCCCCTGTGAAAGCGGAACCTTTCAGCGCCTTTGGGATTTCTTCGAAGTGGTGTTGGAACAACCTCAAACATTGGTGGAGAGATAGTTCCTATGAGTTTTCTGATCACAGGGTCCAATTCAACTCAGCGGCCTCAGGCCTTCACCTCACAGACGACTGCCACTTGGAGCATAAAGAGTCTGTCGTTGCGGATTGGAGGTCCGGTCCTTTCAAGGCTTGCCCCGGTTGGGACCTGCTGCATTGTCACAGTAGGCGACCGAAATCCGATGGGTTTTTGCTTTTGGTTCTGCATTTTTTCAGTTTTTTTGTTTAAAAAAAAAGTGCGCCAACAAAAAGAAAAATCGACAGTCACGGGCCGCGAGGCTCCGGGAACGGATTGCATTTGAAGACCCTGGCGGCGGAGTCTGCGAGTGGACCCATTGAAGCGGCCGGGCACGCTCTGGTCTTTGACGGCCACTCAAAGCGCACTGGTCGCGGTCGGAACCGAAAAAGGCGCGCCCGGCCCACCTTTTGCGAACCCGTATGGTGGGGAAGCCATGCTGGCCATGGTCGGGTCTCCAATCTTGTGAAGCAGAAAGAAGTTTAGCTCAGACGTTGTCCACAGATGGAAGCTTCTCTTGGTGTTTGATCCACCCAAAGGGCGCTTCTGGAACTCAATGCTCCAGCCTAGGTACATTTTTTGGAGTCTCCGATTCCAGCGACTGGCCGATGGGTACTGGAAGCTGGTCACTGGTCACGTGGGCGAATCCTGCGGTGCAGCCGGCTGCTTCGGTGCGACTGTTGGGCAAATCGGGCTACAACGCACCTTGGCCGGGTTTTAGGTTTTATTGGGTAAATTGGAAGCGCTTTTTCGCTGAGCCATCTGAACCCTTTTTGAAGGGACGAAGTCGCTTCTTTCAATAAAGCCCGGCCAAGGACGTTTACGGAATTTACGGTGACGAGTTCGGCATTTTTCTCACATGGGACTTCCTGCCGAGCTGTGCCTCTTACTCTGCGTCCGCAGGTTGGGGGCCAAGGCATACAGCCTCAAACCACGAAACCTATCCCCTTACCATTGCAGTTTTCCAGTTTCTATTTTCAACTTGCTTCCTTCGCTGAGTGACATGGCAGGTTCGTTCAGTTGCACCGGGACATCTCCCTTGATGCGAAACGCTTGGACCCACCTGGCTTGCACTTTCGAGCTCGCCGAGTTGGAATCCTCCATCCTGAAGCTCCCTGGATGGTGAAATCGCGTCCAAAAAAAACCAGCAAGATTTATAAATGGGGGTCCTGGTGAGTGGCTTTAGGTTGCTGCTTTCTGTAATACCATGACGATGCCCTTAAGTGAAACGTAGTCATGAAAATGGCCCACTTTGGAAAACCAGAAAGGGTTGTTTTCTACAAGTATGCTAATTAACATGACTGAAGAGGTCAGCAGGCCTCAGAAGAGCCACTGCCGGTCAAAACAAGAAAAATCAGGATCAACAAAAACAACACACACACACACACACGCCCACACCCACACACACACACACACACACCCACACGCGCACGCCCACGCCCACGCGTACGCACACGTGCACGTAAAAACACGCCCACGCCAAGCCACACACACACACACACACAACCCACAACACACACACACACACACACACACACACACACACACACACACACACACACACACACACACACACACACAACACAACACACACACACACACACACACACACACACACACACACACACACACACACACACACACACACACACACACACACACACACCCACACACACACTCACACACACACACACACACACACACACACACACACACACACACACACACACACACACACACACACACACACACACCCACCCACTCACGCACGCACGCACGCACGCACGCACGCACGCACGCACGCACGCACGCACGCACGCACGCACGCACGCACGCACGCACGCACGCACGCACGCACGCACGGCACGCACGCACGCACGCACGCACGCACGCACGCACGCACGCACGCACGCACGCACGCACGCACGCACGCACGCACGCACGCACGCACGCACGCACTCACGCACGCACGCACGCACGCACGCACGCACGCACGCACGCACGCACGCACGCACGCACGCACGCACGCACGCTCGCACGCACGCTCGCACGCACGCTCGCACGCACGCACGCACGCACGCACGCACGCACGCACGCACGCACGCACGCACGCACGCACGCACGCACGCACGCACGCACGCACGCACGCACGCACGCACGCACGCACGCACGCACGCACGCACGCACGCACGCACGCACGCCCGCACGCACGCACGCACGCACGCACGCACGCCCGCACGCACGCACGCACGCACGCACGCCCGCACGCACGCACGCACGCACGCACGCACGCACGCACGCACGCACGCACGCACGCACGCACGCACGCACGCACGCACGCACGCACGCACGCACGCACGCACGCACGCACGCACGCACGCACGCACGCACGCACGCAGCACGCACGCACGCACGCACGCACGCACGCACGCACGCACGCACGCACGCACGCACGCACGCACGCACGCACGCACCCACCCACCCACCCACCCACCCACACACACACACACACACACACACACACACACACACACACACGCACAGGCGCCCGAGCATGCGCATGCGAAGAGCGCGCACAGGTACAGGCAGACGTGCGTATTCCGCGACCTGGGCTCTTTCGCGAGCACGTTTTCCCCTATCCAGTTGGGCTGCTTGAGTTTGGTACGTTGAACCAGAGGCAGAAGTGTGGAGTCCCCATCACAAGCTCGGGCGTTGCTCGAATCTGTTTGGGTACATCGGACTTGTGTGGCCTTGAGCTTTGCCCATGCTGTGGGCATATTTTGTCCACAATGATAGCACTGACCGATGTGGGCCGTGGCCTGAAAAAGATGCAAACCAATAATTCACGCACATGCTGAGATTTGGCTCTTGGAATGAACGATGGTAGAAAAAGGAATAGAGATTCGTATGGCAGCTCAACGCTGCATGTGTGCACATGCAAGCGCGCATACGCACGCACACGCACGCGCACATGCTCAAACACAGGCGCTCGAGCGCGGTCACGGGCAAGTGCGCAAGCGCACATACACGCACACGC